TAAAGTCACGATAGCTCAGTTGCCAAAGCCATTTGTAAGCTATATTTAGAAACCCTTAAGTTCAAATCCCGGTATGAATTTTACCTATATATAATATTTATTCTAGTTACATATAACTGAAATATAAAGTACAAATAAAAAATTATATTAGTCACTAACAAAAGAACTAAAAGTAACTGATGTAGTCATACTTAAGATAAAATTTATGTGCTACAATACGTAAGTCACCATGAAAAACAAATTGTTTCATACAGACACGAGAAACAATACATTTATGGGTATAACATTTTAACATATCGTAAAATTACTCACAATGTGTGTGTGTATATAATATATAATATTAATTAGAAGTCATATGGGAACCGATATCAATCTACGCTAATATTATAAAGCTGAAGACTTTGTTTGTTTGTTTATAAGCACTTATCTCAGGAACTACTGGTTAGAATTGAAAAATATTTTTTGTGTTGAATAGACCATTTATAAAGGAAGCCCTCCTTATGCTATATCATAACTGCGACTAATAGGAGCAAAGGAAATAATGGTATATATGGATAAACGGTGAAAATTATTCATGTTTGAAGATTTCAGTGTACTCCACAAGCTAGTCTATTATATTGCTAGCTGAATTGTTGAAAACGTTTGATTTTAATAATCTTCCAAGATATTTAAAGAACTATAAAGTTACACACATACATACATAAATATTGTATATATTGTAAACTATAAATACCTGTACTTCCCCTTCAAGGAAAACCACTAAGCATTTTAACAATCATTGTTTGCAAATATGAAAAAAGATCTATTGTGTTTTATATATGGAGAAATATAAAAAATCATCCAGTGAAAATATATCAATAGAGAAAAAATTGGTGTAAACTACTGTTACCCTTTTATTTTGATTATTCATTTAAGTTTATTAACAATGAATTGTTAAACTTCAATTATTATTTGTTAATTATAATAAAACTAAGAATTTCGAGAGTATTCATTAAAATGAAACTTATAATTTTCGGATATACTACGCGTTTCATATTTATAAAAAACTGCATACTCCCGACGTTTCCGTTACTTTCCAGCACCCGTGATCACGGGTAGTGTAGTTTTTTTACAAAAACAAAGCACGCGTAGTATATAGGAAAAATATTAGTCTTCTATAGATATAAAAATGGATTGCTGTTCCTTAGTCTCGCTAAAACTCGAGAACAGCTGAACGGATTTGTTTTATCTTAGTCTTGAAATGTTCGTGGAGGTTCAGGGAAGGTATAAAAGGTGAGAAAAATTGGAATAATTGCCGGGAAAACCCTAAAAACAGCCCTTTTCTATTTCCCATACAAACGCTTTTTTTGACATTAGATTTGACAACTAATATGTCAATCATTCTGTTTGATTGAAACAGGAAAAACCTGATTATTTATGGCCTCTAAGACGGAATAGAGTTCGCCTGGTCAGCTATACATATATTACTAATGGCGAAACTAACGCGGACGAAGTCGCGGGCAAAAACTAGTTTTATAATAAATTATTATTAAAGTTTAACAATTTATTCCTTAGTAGATAATAAGGTAAATATTGTTCTTAACAAAGTTATAAAGATCATAAAAGTTCTCTGTAAATTTCTTTTACTCTCAGAGTTAAAGATTTTCTAACAGTTAAATCTCGCACATATGAGTATAATACTCTAAACTGTCCTTGTTTAGTTAATGAGATCTTGGTAAGAATGCAGACAAATATGATGACTGGTTTTTGTAAATAAAGATAATACACTGTATAAAGAAAAATGAGTTGTTCTTATTTCTAAGAAATGACACATTGTTTGGGAAACGATTATTTAGAACGTGTTAATTTAATCAAGTATAAAGAATACAACAACAAATGAAAATAAGATAATGTAAGTTTCCTAACAAAGTCTTGAAACTATTATTATTCATCTCAATCTGACGAGGATATTTATAAGAAACTTAACCGAATCGAAACCGAACCGAATCTAAGACGAATTGATTTTAAGTAACCGAATATATCTAGGTAAGCCTCGCAACAGTAAAAACATGTCAATATTATTAGTCATTTCAAACTAAAGATAAACTCATACATATTCAATTTAACGAGTCTTTGTGAAATATTATGTACTCATAAAATACAAAATATATAAATATACAGAAATTAAAATTGAGGAAATATTTATTTACAATTTATGTATATGATTGTTTTATATTTGAAGACTGGCAAATGAATTGTCATCAGCCTATCAGAGCCCACTGCTGAGCAAAGGCCTCTTTCTCACATGGAGAAGGTTGGAACATTAATCAACACGCTTGCTCAAGACGGATTGGTGATTTCAAACTTATAATATGTCCAGGTTTCCTCACGATGTTTTCATTCACCGTCTGTCAATGGTGTCTAAATATTCTTAGAAAGTACATATGACTCGGAAAAGTCACATTGGTACTTGCCAGGGTCAGGATCGAACCGGCGCCCTCATGCATGAGAGGCGGGCCTTTTAACCACTAGGCCATCACTGACCTTAAATGAGTCATATACTGACATTTAATCATAAGGGGATGTCCCTTAAAACAAAAACGTGAGATTAGCAAAGGCCGTATGTTGTAGTAATAAATTTAAATGTAGTCACATAACAAAATGACTATGTTATGAAGAAAAAAACTGCGCTCTATGTCTACGTATAGTGACAACAGTTTTACCAATGGCAAACATAATGCTGTTAAATCTTAAATTAAATTAAAAAGCAATTTCATAAAATTCCTACATATAAAGCAGCCCTAGTAGGTCCGTTCCAAATTTGGTTAGGTAGAGAGGAGCTTGCACGGTGGAGTGGAGCGTTTGTAATTATTTTAATTGTATCATAAAACAACAAATGACGACGAAAATCTACTCGTAATTTTCATTCAACACACGTCACCATTACAGAGCTCACAACTATAATTTTCCCTAATTAGTTAATAAATTCACTAATTAGCTAATTAAAACTTATTAACTTGCGCTTAGAATGAAAATAATAATAACAAAATGGGGAAATAATATTAGAATAGTATACCAACAAATTAAATAGTCCTTTTCATTTCAGTTTCTACGACGTTTTAAACGAGTAGGTTTTAAACTTTAAAGAAGCAGTGCCTCTCGAATGCAACACAAGCATAGTTTTGCACACACACATACAAACATTTCCTGTATACATACAAGAGATTTGTAGGTCGTCTTTGAGAATTTTTGTATGGAAAATAAGCTGAGAGTGGTTGTGCATAACGCCGCTCTAGCTGCATAGCGGCGCTAGCAGTTAACAGCGGCCGATCGAAAATGTTTCCTTTTTACATTGATAGATGGCGCTTATTAACAAATCATGAATCAAATGTATTTTAAATGTCTGTAAACATTTGTATTTCGTAATATATGATGAAATTTATTTAAGTAAGAATTAAAAATTATAGGTTTAGTTGTTATATGGGTAAGGTATGCAATGTTTATTTGCATCTATGGTGTGTACGCAACTTATAGACCCGCACGGTGAATCCATGGAATGCTGAGAAGTTTAATCTCATGCTAAAACAATCTTCTTAAGTTTTTATTACCGTTTAACTGATTTTAACACACTCACCACGGCACAAATTGTGAAGAATATTTTGAAATAACTACATGTCATTTTACTGTCTAGATATAACTGGATAACAAATATATATAAATATATATAAAAAATAAATTCTATACAATGACTTCATACAGTAATAATCTGCAAATAATTTGACATTCTCACTATTGAATGCCAGTTGAAGAAACAAAACACACATTTTCTTGAACAATGTAATTTTAGTAATAATTTTAAAGCCATATTTTATTTAATTTTTCAATATAAAAAAGGTTTTATGAATTCATCCTATGGATATATCATCATTTTGATTTTATGTATATGAACTAGATATATATAATTTCTGTGGTTGAAGTGGTTTAGAGTTTAAAAGCCCGCTTCTCGTGCACGAGGGCGTGGGTTCGATCCTGGCAAGTACCAATGTGATTTTTTCGAGACATATGTATGTACTTTCCCCAAAGTTTTAGACACCACTGACAGACGGTGAAGGAAAACATCGTGAGGAAACCTGGACTTATAATTTCAATTTATAAGTTTGAAATCACCAACCCATATTGGGCTAGCATCGTCATTAATGCTCAGCTCAGCAGTGGGCTCCAGTACACTGATCATATATAATTTAGAGATTGGCAGTTTTCAAACAACAAGTAATAATTTAATCATATTATATTAGATTCAATAAATACTATCGCAGACCCTGGCTAAAGCTGGGAAATTGCTAGGAAAAAGAAGAAATACTATAGTATTTTCAATGGAAGCTCTTAAATGTTTCTAATTAATTAATTAATCTATAGATATAATAATAATAAAAATCTTTAGAATTCTTGTCAACTATTCCTCAAGTCATGACTTTATAATTTTAACAGAATTCATTTAATGTGAAAGTAATGATTCTTTTTTTTTGTTTGTTTGTATTAAGTGAATTGTATAATAACTGAATATTATTCTAATATATATACAAGAAACAAACTTATATGTTTATATAATAAGGAGAAATTTAATTTATTTCATGTAATAATCCCATTACACTATCTTTCTACCACATAGAAGTTCACCGACCAGATAAGTAATTTTCAGATAAGACTTTTATTATCATATGGCGGCAACATTTGAAAATAATACTGGACACAAATCTTATATGACATAGATATGTTAATTGTAAAAAATAAATGAAAAGAATTTCCATAGTATGTTCGTAAGTCTTAGTATTAATGTTTTTATATCACACAATAATGTATAAGTATATTGTTAAGGTAACATATTCAAATCACACTAATTAAGTGTGACCAATTGTATAGCACTCATTCTATTCATGATAATGACGTTTTAGTGATATAGATTAGGATAATTATTACAATTATTATCTTTTAATTAAAGTATCAAAGAAATTATTACTCACGGTTGTGGTTGGTGAGGGTGACGGTGGATGAATCTGACCATTCGAGGCAGTCCATGTTGCTAAAAACACAACCAGAGCAAGCAAAAAAGTTCTTAATCGCAGCATTTTAACACTGAAAAATAAATTTCACGTGTATAATATATGACTTTCAGTTTTTTAAATAGATTCTATGATAGTAATGATTACCGTTAGAAGTTCAGCCCTAATTGAGATGTAATTTCTTAATATTTATTTAATATCGGCTTCGTTTTTAATGTCCACGTTTGACGTCACTTGTCCAGTGAATGTAATATTTGCCAACCCATCGAAGGCCAAAATTTCACAGAACAAACTAATACAAAATTGTACTAAGCCAATTACTTATGACGATGTTTAAATTAGATATAATTGGCCGTTTTATATATAGCTTTTTATTATAAATCACATTTTTAATTCTATACTGAATTGACAATGTTCAAATCTTTAATCTGTCACTGTTTTTCGACCTTTCTATTGTTGACAATATTTTTTTTAATAGTTGTTAACCACAATCGTAATCTTAACTGCCATGAAAATATATAATATAGAAAAATTTATAAAATTTAATTTTTATAAAAATTGTTTTATTACTCTAAACCAATTATGCAAAAAATTAAGAAAATATTTATTTTATAAATAGTAGTTAAATGTTAGTAAGAAGAGGTTAAAATATTGTAACATACATACTCCATCTTAAATGCAACAGACAAGACTACATATTAGATATATTTAATATTTCCACATCTTTAATACGAATTCCCTTTAATATCTGCCCTTAAAACCCTGCAGGCTGCGTAATAAATTGTATCTGAAATTCTTTACTTATTTGAAGGCTTATTTGCTCTTCGGATTAAATAAAAAATCTTATTTTTAACGATTACACGTTAAATATCTGATATGAAGGAATTATACTATTTTTCAATAAGATTTGGTGTATTTACAATATAACTATTTCGTTGTTACGCACTGCGTGTTATGCAAAATGGAGAGTACTTAATGCTTAAAAACTTATAGGTAGTTTATGATGTTGTGGTTACAGTTTTTGAGACTTAAAATTGACATTATAGTTTACATTTGACAATTGACATTACCCCTGACATCTACTTACTACCTACTACAAATGTTTACTTCATACTTTTGATTTAACTAAGATAACCTAAAGGCTAAAATATAAAAATGCCACTGGATTATAGAAGATTTAATGGTCCAGAAGACAGTGTATCATACAGGCGTTTCACAGAGGATTATACGAAGGATTATAAACAGTTTCTTGACGAATTAATCGACGAGAATGGACGTCGGAAAGGAGGGCGCGAAATGGATGAAGCGCGTACCTTGTGTATGTTTTGTATGTTTCAAATAATAAAAATAAGGTTAACTGAAATATATTTATTACATTCTACATAAGTTGATATTTATTAATACTATTTCCAGTTGCTAGAACGGGAATGATATCACAAGCTAAGGGATCATCTTATATAGAACTAAAGAGAACGAAAGTTGCCTGTTCTGTGTTCGATCCGAGGGAAATTGTACACCAGAATGAATACAGGTAGCGGACATATAATTTAACAACATCTACGTTAGTTAACAAAGTTACAAAAATCAATTTAAAATATATTAAAATCTACTGAATTGTTATTTTATTTAAACAATCTTTGTTTATATTCTTTTGTGCCAAATGTCAAAGTGTTAATATAACCATTTATTTACTATTTCCAGTACTCTCGGACAATTGTATTGTGAAGTTAAATTTGCACCTTTCTCATGTCGGGGAGAACGGAAAGCTCTTGTACCGGATTCAGATGAAAGAGCATTATCAGTGGCTCTCAAGAAGGCCTTAGAACCTGCTGTATGCAGACATTTGTTTCCAAATTATCAGGTTTGTATGAACCTAAAAAGTGTCTTATATTACATTAATGAGATCTAAGATTTTCGTGAATTTTTTTCATTTAAATGAAACTAAAATTTTTCGGATTATACTATGCGACCTTTTTTTTGTAAAAAACTACATACTCCCTTTACTTTTCAGTAACCGAGATCACGGTAGTTAGGTAGTTTTTACAAAAATAAAGTCTTGTATAATCCAAAAATTATTAGTTTTATTTAAATGTTACTATATTATGGTATTAAAAATAATCATAATGTATATATTTCAGATCGACATCTTCATATATATTCTAGAAAACGATGGAGCGTGTCTGCCAGCGGCAATAAATGCTGCCGGATTGGCTTTATCAGACGCAGCTGTGCCGATGTACGATATAATAACCGCTAGTTCTGTGGCTATAAGTGGAGACAAGATTTTCGTCGATCCAACAGACGATGAAGAACAATTGGCGATCAGGAACCACGATGGTGTAAACCACGGTGTGATCACTATGTCGATGTTGCCGGAATTACAACAAGTCTCAGATTACCGACAGATTGGCTCGATGGATGCCGACTGTGTTTTAAATGCACTTAGCATACTTGAAAAGGAATGTAAGAAAATTGTCCCATATGTACAGAGAGTTCTCGTGCAGAATGCAATTAATAGTTTCGAACAACAAAAAAAGTTAGAAGAGGAAGCAAAGGAGAGAGAGGAAGCTTTGAACGCAAAGATGGAAGTCTGGAAATCTATATTAAATGTTGGATAGCAGATTCTATGACTTTTATTACCTAAGACCAAAACACAAATAAATTTATATATATACATGATTCATGTCTATAGCATGGATTTTCTTAGGATTGATAAATTTCAATTTAAATTAATAATTTTTTTTTAACTTAAAAACTAAGCAAACATATTTTAAATAGATATAATTTATTATTAAGTGGTTATTTTAATGATTTTGGATAAATTATCATTTTCAAAGTAGGAAAAACTAAATATAATTTTTTTATTTTACCTATAAAGGTGTATCAATACGTAATTCAGGCTGCCATTCTTATATCAAGTCACTCAAGTCCCAAAACTAATGTTTCTGTAAAAATTTATATACAGTTTATGAAATGAGAAAACTCTTCATTAGACAAATTTCTACTTTGCCTCAAATAAAACACATAAAATTTACTGGTATAAGAAAATTAAGCTCCCAACTTAACAGCATGACAAATTGTTTTTTTAAATATAAAAATTCCACCTTTGTTCATGAAGTATGTATATTTTTGTCATTTGTTTTAAAATTCCACATAGAAACAAATATTTTGGAATGATATTAACAAGAAGTACACTATTACGAGGAGAAAACTTATGTAATGAAAAACACAGTATTAAAAATTTAGTTTTACTTAATACATAATATATCCTAATCAATCTTCGGGCTTCTCCGGTGGTGGACCACAAGGTTGGAGCATTCTCTCCATCAAATTAAACTTCACCCTCGCTTTAGACTCATTTTCAACAATAGCAAAGTAACTTAGTATATCCGGATGCCCCATATAACTGCAACATGAATCCCGATGCTGGTTCGTAAGCCACTCGTATTTGGTTGTATCAGCATGTCCTGTTCCTATGTACTTGCTCTGCAAATGCTCTAGCTGACTGTGTATATTGTATCTTTCACCCATTCTATAAAATAAAGTACGTTATTACTATTTTGATCAACATCTGATAACTTTTTGGGTAAAATCAACACGTTTTAACAATAGTATTTAGTGTCGCAATATTTTTGAAATAGTATTGATATAACCACTTATTTGTTAATAATAAATATTAATACATAAAGCCATTAAAAAAACTATATCCACCAACAGCTAACTTAGTTATAAAAATAATGAAGTAGTACTTTCTCACCTCTTTTATTAATTAATTATTTTTTTTAGAAGATTTCAACCTTTAGAAGTTTATTTGAATTAACAGGGTTTTGGAGCGACTTATATTACAAACTGAGAATCCAAATATTAAAACTACGCTCAACTGCTACACAGTACACTATTTACGGTTAGGAAATATTGTTGTCAGTGTAAAATGTAAATGTCATTTCTGATAATAATCACAGATAATGAAAAATAAAAATTAACTAAAACATAATTACAAGGTAAATACAAACATTTCACAGACTTTTTTTATAAAGATTTATATATATTTTCTTCATTTAAAGAAAAAAGAGAAATCACAATTTTTAAAAAAAAACTAGTAACTATGGTAACGGTAAATAACTAACGCGCTCATTTTGAAAATGTTTGATCAATGTTTATCTTTTTTAAAACAAACGCTTGGTTATTTCAAATGAAATTATGGCTACTAAAGTTAAACTCCTAAACGTAGAACAAAATGAAGAAAGCTTGAGAAAGCAAGCTAAGAAAATGGTAAAACAAAAGAATATGTTTAATAAGAGGCTAACTCATTTATTTATGCATGAAAAATGTCTATCGGAAATTGTAAGTAAAATAAAATATGCACATGTTGCTTATGTATATCTTCATGTAGAATAAAAGTATTTAGATGTACTTCAACAATATATTCTACACATTTTAGCAAAAACCAAAGGAACCCAACCACATTATTTATGCCTATTTTCATAATAACAACATTACGAAGATAGAAAATTTAAATTTCCTTTACAATTTAACCCATTTACACTTGCAATCTAACAAAATTACGAAAATTGAGGGTCTGGATAATTTAACGAAATTAAAGAAGATATATCTTGGGGACAATAAAATAAGTGTTATAGAAAACTTGGATAAACTGAAATATTTAGAAGAGTTGCATGTTGAAAAGCAATGTCCTGAGAGTTCGGACCCTCTCTGCTTTGAGCCGAGAAGCATAATATCAATAGGGGTATGATTTTAGCCTTTAATGTATTAATGTTATTCATATACTTGTTATTACTGGTGTGATAATAATGTGTGACAATAATAAGTCGTTTTTAAGGCCTCACTGAGAATTTTAAATGTTTCTGAAAATAAAATAGCAGACATGTCTTGGGCTAAGCCTCTTCGTCGTCTCGAAGTTCTTATCGCAAAGAAAAATAATTTAGACAATGTTGAGGTAAGCTATAATAAGAACTGTGTGCAATATTTTTATTTTTATACTTATATTTTTTGTTTTTAGGCCACAGCTGATAGCTTATGTAGCTTAATATCTTTAGTCGACGTAAACTTTACCGGCAATCCGATGACCAAAAAGCATCGATATAAAGAAATTATGATAGCGCGATGTGCACCTTTGCGTAAGTAAAAAATAACATAAACTTCACATAAATTATCCTTTTTGTGTTACTAATTTAATAGTATTGTCATAATAATATCTCGTATAATATATATTAACTTCTGGGAGCCTTCATGCTCAAGAAACTTGGATTCATATTAGTGCAGTATCATATAACAAATTTTAAAAATATTTCCTTTAATATAATTTTCAGGCGTTTTAGACGATGTCGTTATTCACAACACGTCTAGGACATTCCTACAAAATTTCGATAAAGTAGTTCGTTTACGCCAATTAAACGTTAGAAATAAAATAAAAATGTCACGTCAAGGCCTAGATGATTTTTTCGAATTAAATATGTTGCCTGGACCAAAAGCTCAGAGTGCTATGTCCATAACAGAATTTTCTAATCAAAAACCGAAGAGTAAGTAAATTGTAACTAAATACAGAAATTTTTGTTTTTAATTCTTTATATAATACTAGCTGCGAACCGCGGTGTTACCAGCGCATTTCCGGGATGTAAAGTAGCCTATGTATTATTCCTGGACGTCAGCTTCCTGCATACAAAATTTTATCAAAATCGGTTCAGCCGTTTGAGCGTGAAGAAGTAACAAACATACACACACACAAACTTTCGCAAGCAATTATAATATTAGTAGGATACTCTAGAGTCTAGAGTAATGTTAAAAATTATTAATTGTATACAATTTCAGTTTCAGCCATAGACTCCACTTATACTTTTATGCCAAGAGCCTTTTGGCGTAACAGAACTGCTCCTCCTCGTGACACAATTCCACCTTTGGAGCCACCGCCAATGCCAAAAGAACCTTCCAAAGCGCCACCCGCCAAGGGCATCTTGAAAAAACCTATGCCAATGAAATATATTTGATTATGCCAACGATTTTGTTCTAGTTTTTGTAATATTTTGTATAAAATTTTGGATAAAATGTTTGCATTTTTAAATCTTAAATTATTGCAATGAGAAATATAGTTATATTTTTAAAAATTACTTAGTGTTTTTCATTTTTTTAAAGATAAGTCTAATAAGACGGCATTTTTTTAAATATTCTTACTACTAACTTTATAACAAAAGTTTTGTGTGTTTTCAATACAAAGTTTAAAACAATTTTCGGTTCATTTTAATAGACATCTGTAGTCAGACAGATAAAAATTTCAGTTTTAGATCAATTTACTATCATTTTGACAGTCTTGGAAACATAGGTTATGTTTACACTTTACACTGTCATAAGTAAAAAGAAAAACCTTTTAAATTTTTTGCATATTAATAGCTAGTATGAAAATATACGATCAACGATGGTAGACAGGGTTACAGAAGCTTTTAAAACTCTCAATGCGGAATCTTCGGGTATGTCAATTATGTATCCCAAATAATATGTTTTATCCCGAGGTTTCGTTTGAATTCAATTTTCATTATAAAAAACTTTACTAATGTTCTTTTTGTAGATTTATATCTAACTGGAGATATAGATCAAGTGGATGATTTAGATCCCTTGACTTTCCATAGGGACTATGTATCCAAAAACATGCCTGTTGTAATCAAAGCAGGGTGTGCAGATTGGCCGGCAACTAAAAAATGGAGTGCAGACTACTTTAGGTAGACTAGAGTAAGAATATTTCTTTTATAAAAGTTTAAAGGTTAAAGCAGTAATATGTAGTATGATTAAGGCGGCCAACTTTCAGAAAACTGAATGCGGGACTTAACTTTTCGTGAATGGCGGGGGGGGGGGGGGGGTGTTAGGGATTGGGAATGTCATAAAAATCTTCGCAACTGCCCATATTAAATTTAAGTACTCTCTTATGCGTCATGAGTTCAGAAGAAAGAAAGAAAACGAGATTATCGCGGGCGCGATACGCTTGTCCCTATATTATAGGTAATCTGTGTTCCTGCACTGTTGACCGTGGTATGGGTGTTGTGTAGAAGTGTGGTAGAAAAATAGGGATGCGGGACATGCGGGACGCATACAACGTTTTGCGAGACTATTTTATAAATAATTTCAAAGCGGGATTTCGTCTATAATTGCGGGACGGTCCCGCAGAATGCGGGACGGTTGGCCGCCTTAAGTATGATAACATTCTATTAAGACCCAATTTAATTAAATTTACAGAGAAAATTTAGGCGATAAAGTAGTAACGGTTACACTTACACCGAATGGTCTGGCTGATGGTATAACTAAGAATGAAATAGGAGAAGAATATTTTGTGACTCCTTATGAGGTTGAGATGATGATGAAGGAATTTTTAGACATACTATATCAGAAGAAGTAAGACATATATATGTATATATTTTCTTATACCACAATAAGTTATTATATAAGACTAGAAGACCTGGCGAACTTCGTATCGCCCTATAATCAAGAAATATCTATTACGTTTTTTTATTTATATTTGGAGTTTACCTGTAAGCGGTAAGTAAATCTCTGTGTTTAGAAGTGCGACAGGATGATTGACATATTAGTTAGTTGTCAAATCTAATGTCAAAAAAAACGTTTGTATGGGAAATAGAAAAGGGCTGTTTTTATGGTTTTCCCAGTAATGAATCATTTTTTTCAGCTTTTATACCTTCCCTAAACCTCCACGAACATTTCAAGACCAAGATAAGATAAATCCGTTCAGCTGTTCTCGAGTTTTAGCGAGACTAAGGAACAGCAATCCATTTTTATATATATAGAAGATATAATACACTAAAAACAATATTTCTCATATTGATATTACAGTGAGAATATAATCCCATACATCCAAAGACAGAACTCAAACCTCACAGAAGACTTCGGTGAACTTATTCAAGATGTGGATAAACATATTAGTTTTGCCAGCAAAGCTTTTAATAAGAAACCAGATGCCATCAACTTTTGGATGGGAGATGAAAGAGCTGTGACATCAAGTAAATCTCCTTTTATTTAATAAATATAAGTCTTAACATTTCGTTCATGTACCTAATATCTAATTTTTAGTAAAATTTTTAATCAATTTATCATGTTACTAGCTTTTCCGCCCGCAGCTTCGCCCGCGTGGAGTTCGGTTATATCGCGTTTCCAAGAGAACCTTTCAAAAGTCTGGGATAAAAACTATCCATGTTCTTTCTCAAGGTCAACTCTATCTTTGTACCAAATTTCATTTAAGTCAGTTCAGAGGTTTAGGAGTGAAAGCGTAACAGACAGACAGACAGAGTTACTTTCGCATTTATAATATTAGTAGGGATTTTGTATGTATAAGTATAATTGGTATATAAAATTTACTTATATTGTGTCAGGTAGGTAATATTGCTTGCTTTATTTTGTTCCAGTGCACAAAGATCCCTATGAGAACATTTACTGTGTTATCAATGGCTACAAAGACTTCATACTTATCCCACCGACAGATTTACCTTTTGTTCCATACAAGAGATATCCCCAAGCCGAGTTTAAGAGAACCGGTGATAATTGGAGTATAGTTCCTAAAACTACTGATTTAGAGGTTGACGGAGAATTACCTTGGATTTGTATAGGTTTGTATTATTTTTTTATTTTGTTTTTAACTATGTATATTTGTTTGATTTTACAGGTAACTTGAGAATTTGTTTTGTCTATCATACTTTTTAATGTATGTTTTGAAAACAGATAATTTTTAAGTTGAGTTGGTGACTTATTTGTATGTAAGGAAGTGTATATTAATTTTAGATAAATAGTAAAAACAATCTAATCACTTAGGGCCCGGATAAATATGTATTAAAAAATCTAAAATATGTACATAAAATATGGACGAAAAAATCGAAAATATGGAAAAAATATGGAGTATAAAATGAAATATTTTCATAATTTAACATTGTTTTATTATAAGAAAAGGGTCACTCGTGATGTACATCGTTAAGTTACATTTAAAAACCGATGAAAAGAAGTAGCGAAATATTTATTTCAACAAAAAATAACAGTTTTATTCAACTTCCATTACACTAGCCTTATCAAATTGGTTGCAATACACAATGACGTGCTTCTTTAAATTATCAAAATGAAAACTGACCATTTGGTCGACAATCGACATATTATATGTAGCATTACATCTGCTGATTGGTCTCATCTCAAGTCACATGACGTGATGGATTCATACTTAAACATGCTTAATTCAGTAATTGTGTAAGCCATGTCTACAGCCGTCGAATCTTTCGCACAGAATTTTGTTAATTTTTTTAGCGTATTAAATCCTTTATTTTTTATCCAAAATATTAGTGACGGGAACGTAAATTTTATGTATTTTTGTGAATATATGGATGATTGTGACATTTTACATTACTAGTACATATTCATACAATATTTTAATTTTAATGACATTTTATTTGAATTTCGCGCCATTTTATGACAGATATTTATAATCTATAATTATTGACTTATTAATTTTATTTCTTTTCATATTCTCAGATCCCTTGAACCCAGATTATATGAAGTACCCGGAGTTCAGATTCGCTAATAAATTCCAAGTTCGTCTATACAAAGGCGACTGTTTATATTTACCTAGTCTATGGTTTCATCACGTGAGGCAGAGCCACGGATGTATAGCGGTCAACTATTGGTACGATATGGAATTCGATATAAAATATTGCTATTTTAAAATGCTTGAAAAGCTATGTAATAAATATTGAGATAAATTATTTTGAAGTTTATGCCCTTTTTATTACTTACCTGAGTGTTTTTTTTTTCTTATATGTTAATCTAAAAGGTGGTTATATTCATTAATGATTTTTAAATTCCGTAATCTTTATACCGCGAATATCACTTAGATGTCTCACATACAGAATAAACAACATCCCTACTAATATTATAAATGCGAAAGTAGCTCTGTCTGTCTGTCTGTTACGCTTTCACGCCTAAACCACTGAACTGATTTTAATGAAATTTGGTACAGAGATGGTGTTGACCTTGAGAAAGAACAGGATAGTTATTATCCCAGATTTTTGAAAGGTTCTCTTGGGAACGCGATATAACCGAACTCCACGCGGGCGGAAAGCTAGTTGTATATTGACTGAGCCTTGGAGACAAGAAATATATTTGGTTTGAGTTATGACCAAAAAACAAACGCTAATTTTTTGAGCAAAAACTTTCATAAGAGAGTGCTATATCATAACTTACCTTAGGCCTTTATTTTCGTTTCAACTTCACCGTTGCTCTAAATAACTATTATACATTCCTTTAACATATTAAGATTATAATCAAAATCTTCACTTTTACACATTATATATATTTTTTATAATATACAATAATAAATAAAAAATGATCCTATAAAAAGTTCGGAAATAGATGTACTTGATAATTTAAAACCCAAACTTTTCAACCAGCCGGTTCGTCTCATCGTCTCTATGTTCTGAAACAAGATAATTTTATTACAAATTCTGTAAATTTCAAAATCGCCCTATTTATTTTCATTATTAAACAATATTAGTCTATAAAACTAAGAAACTAATGAAATATGTAAATATAACTATTTTAATTCATTTATAAATCTATACTAATATTATAAAGCTGAAGAGTTTGTTTGTTTGTTTGTTTGAAAGCGCTAATCTCCGAAACTACTGGTTCGAATTGAATAATTATTTTTGTGTTGGATAGTCCAGTTATTGAGGAAGGCTGTAGGCTATATAGCATCACGCTACGACCAATAAGAGCAAAGATTTAGTGGTTAATGTGTAAAAAACGGGAGAAATTATTTCATCTTTGAAGCCTTCCGTTGCGTGCGCCGTAAAAACGGTTCAAGATACACAAAAAATATGTATTAAAGAATAATAGCTCTTTTAATGATCTAAAAAACGGTCCGCAACAGTATATGTCTATCTTTTAAGATTAACTCACAGAAACCGTTTTTATGGTACCTAATTTTGTCGAAATAATTTGTTTAAGTTGTATCAAAATAATAATATTAATCTTTATTCATATAAACAAATAAATATGTTGTGGTTAAGAGTACTTCATTATTAATAAAAAAAAACATAGGTTTCATCCTGAAAATACTACGGGAACTCGACCATTCCGAAAACCCCGCAAGAACGGGAACTATGTGGGAAGAACCAAAAATCTGTCGGAAGTAACTATTCCACGCGGACGAAGCCGCGGCAAAAGCTAGTAAAAAAAATATTTTTAAGGGACCCTAAAATTTCCACAGATCCTATCACTTATAGGGCCCCACAAACTAACACTTATGCAATCTCTGGGTATATATTGGGTGAAATAACTATTTTATTTATTTTCAAGGACTTTAAATAGAAGAAACTTTTTCCGAGTGATATAAGTTTCCACGCTTATCTCCATAGGCCCCCACAGACTAACACTTAGGCAATCTCTGGGTATATATTAGGTTATCGCATAAGGCCCCACAGATTCACAGCTATCTCGGTATATATTAGGTGAAGAATCTATTTTATTTCGTTTTTCTGAGGGATATTATAGTTTAGCTTATCTCAAGGCCCCATAGACTCACAGCTATCTCCGGGTATATATTAGTGGAGGGTGTGGAGCCCAGCATCTTGCAGTTCCCTTTGGGCGAGCACACGCCCACAGTGTTCAGTGACACGCACGCCTCGCCCGGCGACCACGCGCGTACCGTCATGTACCCGCATATAGATTTCACGCAGATCTTCAAAGTTATGTTCGCTGCAATATATAATTATACTTTACTATATAAATACTAGAAGACCCGTCGAACTTCGTATCGCACTATAATCAAGAAATATCTGTTACGTTTTTTTATTTATATTATTGGAGTTTATCTATCAAAGCCATAAATCTCCGTGTTTTGAAGTCCGATAGAATGATATATATAGTAATTAACAGGTTCCAAACATAAATATTACTGTAAAAGCTTCAACTACGGTTAATCTTAAGATAAGTAAAACTTAGGATTTAATTAAAGATATCAGTTGTTTATTCTTAAATAGGATTATTTTCGTATTTTTACCATTCAAATTCTATATACGTAAGAATTTACTGATGTCAGCTGGTAGATGTTGGTTTTAGTAATAAAGCAATGAGTAAATTCTTATTATTTCCTTCAATAAACCTTACGTAAACTAAAACCTTTTTGGACATTTACCATTAATATTGATGAATCATAGTTTTTACTCCAAAATCTTAGTATTTACAGCAGTTCGAGCTTTAACACTAACATAAACATTTTCAATTATGGATATTATTAGATTTTTCGTTAAAATATATCAGTATTCTTGTTTATATCACAAAGTATGAGTAAGTACTTGTATATTTAACTAGTAACTAGGTACCAAAGTATAACTATTGTATCATATATGATATATAGTTACTTGTTACAAACGCTAGATGGCGCTTATTTTAATTAACCACAAAAATCAATTATCTCTGAATGATATTCCACAATAAAATCGAATCGAAATCGAAAAACTAATAAATATGAATTATGTATATGTTATTATTTAAGTAATATTATTGTATTATTATCGTTATACCCACGCCCTTTGTAAGTGTTGTTCGGCAAAAGTGAGGGTGGCAAGACAGATTCGGCGATGAACTCCCTCGCCGCAAACTCTACGCCTGTAATAAAAAAAATAGGTATCTTTATATATATAATTCTTCTGTGAGTGTGTATGTAACTGAACTTCTCTCAAACGACTGGACCAATTTTGATGAAATTTTGTGTGTGTTCACGGGGACCTGGGAATGGTTTAGATTCACAATTTTGTCCGCTGGACAATGTTTTTTTAATTAATTTTTTATTTATTAGTAGTTGTTGATACAAATATTTTTTTTGACATTAGATTTAACAACATGTTCTCTTCCAGTCTCACCTATCAGTAATCATCTCATTGGTTACCCTTTTCTTAGCCATGTCTTCTTCATACAATCCATTCATCTTTTCTTAGGTCTAATCGACCCACATATCCCTCCACATTCATACCTAACATTCTTCTTGTTATAATTCATACCTTCCCATAATATGTCCATACCATAATCTATTACATCTCAACTTATCCGTCACCGACTTCCTTCCGGATTTGGTAGAGAGGAAACCCCCCTAACTTCCTCTGATTTAATTGTTCCGTTTGTTAATTGCCATATTAAAAAAAATATTACCTTGACATTTAGTTTCACCGGATTTAGTGAACTGGCAACACACGCCGCACTTTCTGTATTTTTTCAATGTACCACCCTGTTGACATACTTTTACATTAAAAAATAGGTATTTTCGTCATACATTATACTTATGTATGTATTTTTACAAACATAACATATTATATATAAGCTTATCATACATTTACGATGAATATAGTGCTTTCGTAAGACCCTGGCTAAAGCTGGGAGATTGCCAGGTAGATAGTCCTTTCGTAATCTGTTAAAAGATTATGTATATATATCTCACCGGTCCAGATTTAGGGCATTTACACTCCTTTAATCCGAGCAAAGCGCAGTCTGATGCTTGACAAGTTCCGTCAAGGAGACATTTGCCGCTCACTCCACAGTCACACGACGATAGATCAGCACACGTACATTCGTGATGTTGGTGGTGACAGTCCTTGGATGAAAGGATTTATATATGAGACGAAACTTCTCAGCATTCAATGTATTCATGTGCGTGTGTCGGGTCCATCGTTGTAGTGAGAGGAGCTTCAACAGTGACTGGGACTTGTGACCCAGGTGTAGGTTTAAGGGACCCCTATCTAACGCGCGTTAAACGCTCACCTACACTGTCCAAGCTCCTGTCTCTACCAAATTTGAAAAGCACCTACTACGGCTGCCTTTACGTACGCTCTAAGAATGAATTAATGTTAATTCTGGACAAGCCCAAATATTTTAATAGGTTGTAGAGATTTAGCTGTTATACCTCTCGCTCCTACCTGTACTACCTCCTACTAATAATATAATTGCGAAAGTTTGTGAGTGTGTGTATGTTTGTTGCTTCTTCACGCTCAAACTGCTGAAGCGATTTTGATAAAATTTTGTATACAGGAAGCTGACGTCCAGGAATAACACAGGCTACATTACATCCCGGAAATCCGCGGTTAACACCGCGAGGCGCAGCTAGTATGTATATAAATATATATGTGAGACTGTGTGTTAAAAGCTTTAACTGTAAAAACTAAGATTTGAAAATTTTTAATGGTCAATGTTTAAAAAGATAAAAGTTTTTCAATTGGACTAAATAATGAAGATTTACACTACGTATATACAGGGTGACTGGTGAATTACTATCGATACTTGAGGACGTGATATTTGACGATCATATATGACAAAATAAAAATTAATATAACATAAATATTAATAAACTTCTAAGTAAAGTTAACCAAAAGTTATGTAATTAATTACGCATCGTGTGAACACCCTACAGATTAGGTATACACACACACGCGTGCGGCGGCGTGTTGAAACAACACCACGCCGCCGCACGCGTGTGTCCACACTTGGAACACTTGGAACGTGTGCACACTTTATTTATTTATACGGAAATTTGGTCAAAACTTAACTACCTATTTTTTTACATAATTCGAATGAGATGTACCGAGTATTCTCCTTAAATATTGATAGTAATTCACCAGTCACCCTGTATATGTTAGTATAATGAATGTCATTTAACCAAAATAGAATTTATATACATGATGTGCTTTATTCAATCATTTTGATTTAGGATTAATTTTAATATTAATTTAATATTAATTAATAGAAATTAATGGTGTAATAATTTTGTTGATTCGATTGAACTCTACTTTATCGTAATACCCACATAACATTATATTATATGTAATGGCACCATCATATATTGGCATATATCTGATGGTAAAATCAGTTAGACTTAAGCTGAGCTTTGCATTTGTGTGAGTGAAAGCAAAAGTGGAGTTAGACAAAAAGTTTTAGAATTCAATTTTATTATATTATACATAACATAAGTGCTAAAAAATAAGCAAAACTTGTAAAAGGCCAGAGGGAAATATTATGAATATTATGGATATTTTTTTATTGATTAATAAAAATTTTGAAAAACTATACAAATTCACTTGACATTGCGTTTTCAATATTTGAAGTTGCTGCCAGTACAAAGCGTGAAGTGCGGAAGGTGCGGGGCGGAGTAAAAGCAGAATAAATTGGTTCAAAACTAGAAAAGAACGTTGCATTCAAAAATTTGACATCACACCTACACACTGCACTCACACAAATGCAAAGCTCCCTATACCTCGTTTACTAACTACCCTCTATTATAACTAACTAACTAACTAACTAGATATACAAACTAACGATTCCACTGCTCGTGAGGTTAGCGAACTCGCAGTTAGCGTTACAACACAGACCCTGGGAGGGATGACAACTGACGCCAGGCGATACGGAACAGCCATCCTTATATAAGGTCCTGGAATATATAACATTATGTATATATAAAACAAAATATATTGATATTTTAGGCTATATTTCTCTGATATTTAAGCTGTAATACTCTAATATTTCAATAAAATCAGTTCTTCAAATCTACATGTGTATATATTTTAATAGAAATAGCTATATATTTACTAACAATCGCAAGAGTTTGTGGAATTAGTGCAAACGTAACAAACTGTGGGTAAGTTTAGTAATTCTAAATAATTAAATCTACCCTCAAAGAATATATGATTCATTAATATTGTTGAAACTTACTCAGGTTCCATAGAAAAAAATATTCTATTCTCAAATAATAACCAAATAAACAGGATTCGAACCTACAACCTACTTAATATTACATTCATATTGCTTTACACATTAAGCTATTTCCTCTTAATTGATATTGGTGGATTAAGTATACACATATAAGCATCTAGTTTTCGATCTATCAAACTATAGATCTGTGTCTATATCTATCTGTATCTATATCTATCTATGTATATCTCACCCCTCCTCGTGCACGAGAGCTCCCCCCGCGCGCGGTGTACAGCAAGGGTCTCTCTGACTACATTCAGAGGGTAGACCACAATCACAAGACTCACCGATCTCTACTATACCTGGAAATATTGTATTATTTTAAACTCCATACAAAAATTATGAAATATTTTTATAAGTATCCATTAAGATGAAAGAAAATAAAATTAATGTTTCGTCAATTAAATTTTTATATGTATTTTTTAATCTTGATTACGTCCTTCTTTAGTTTTTGTAATTAATAATGATGGAAGGAAAATTATATGATTGCTGATTATACTGTTCTCTATGAATACTTCTTTCTTTTGAATATATCGTATAAAATTTTACATTCACGCAGACATTCGATTACATATAAATTATTAATTGTCAAACAAAAATTTAATTATTTTTAATAATTACTGGCACGCTATAAACTCAAATTTCTTAAATACGTCACTTTATTAAAAAAAAAAAACAATTCTATTCTACTAAATATATACATACCATTTCCACAATACGGCTGGTCTACTTCCGTGAGACAGTAGCTCATGCTGCTGAGAGTAGCTGTAATGAGTCTCTTACTACACACAGAGAACTCTGAGTGCTTGGTTGGAGCTGACTGTGAGCCCATCAGATAACCACGGCAGTCGGGGTTTGGGAAATGGTCGTCGTGGTGGGCACCGAAACTATGACCTATGAATCAAGCACATTTGAAATTTGAAATTCGAACACAAATATATTATTCATTTTCAAATTTCGAACAGCATATCATCTAATTTGGTATATATTACATCAATTCAAGCTTCTAGTTGCACATTTGAAATTCGAACGCAAATATATTATTCATTTTCAAATTTCGAACAGCATATCATCTAATTTGGTATAGATTACATCAATTCAAGCTTCTAGTTAAAGCACATTTGAAATTCGAACGCAAATATATTATTCATTTTCAAATTTCGAACACCATATCATCTAATTTGGTATAGAATTACATCAATTCAAGCTTCTAGTTAAAGCACATTTGATATTCGAACCCGAAAATATTATTCATTTTCAAATTTCGAACACCATTATCATATTTGGTATAAATTACAAAATAATACAAAAAATTTATAACTCAATAATTATCAAACTACATTCGATATTAGACCATAATTAGGTAGTTTAATATTTCATGTTCAATAGTATAATATAAATGTCATTATGTTTGACATTTAGTGACGACACACACATTGAGACATATTCACGTATTGATATATATGTGTGTGTGTGTGTGTGTGTGTGTGTGTGTGTGTGTGTGTGTGTGTGTGTGTGTGTGTGTGTGTGTGTGTGTGTGTGTGTGTGTGTGTGTGTGTGTGTGTGTGTGTGTGTGTGTGTGTGTGTGTGTGTGTGTGTGTGTGTGTGTTGTCAATTGTAATTTATTCCATGTATTTCCAATTCATTCTATATAAAAATAGCTTTATGTACCTTCCCAATATACACTTTGACTGTGCTAAATCTCATTTTGGTCGTTGTATATAATTTTCATAAAAATCGGACAGTTTCTGATTAAAGTTTCAATTATTATGATATGATTTTCATATTTAGAACATCTCAGAACAAACTCAATATGCAAAATTCAAATATGGAATACGGTACAAACTTCAACGCATACTAACAACTTATTTTAAACTTCGAACGTCACAAAATAGAGTATTATCCATATTTTTTAAAAAACAAGTCATTTTCAAATTTCGAACGTGATAATAAATTTTCAAATTTGGAATCCATTACCCATCTCATGCGCCAGTGTGAGCGCCGCTAGTCTCTCGGGCACTCGGTCTCTGTCGCCGGTGGCGTGCGCGAGGGCGAGCGTGTTGAAGGAGCGCCCGTAGGCGCGTCGGTCACACAGACCGCCCGCAGCGCCACCTAGCCCTCCGCCCAGCGACGTGAAACTATAACATGACCATACATATGTAACCTTAATACAAGTTTACATCCACACTACGTACTCAGCGTTAATACTTAATAGTTTTTCATTCAAGAACCGATGTTGATACTACGAGTATTGTGTGTAGAGATTTATGAATGGAAAACTATTAACGTTCCGTATCAAGTCTGATGACGCAGACTCGTAATAAGTACTATCGGTCTCACAGACCGCCCGTAGCTTACTTGAGAATGAATCAACGAAATAGTTTATTTATGTCCACACTAATATTTAAAACTACAATATATCCAACTTTCTTTAGCCAAAGTGGGCGGTATATTGAATCTCAAAGGTCTAAGTAATAATATAAATGCAAAATAATATATTTTATCACGATATTGGAATTATGAGACGAACACGATTCAAATGTTAATTTATGACGTCATTTCCCTAATGTTATTCTGTTATTATGTTACATCATACGTCAAACACAAATACTTAATTTCGTATAATTCAGTTTCTTTTACCTTTAAGTTCAATAATATTTATTCTGTATGCTTAGTATATGTTTGCATCGTCACACAGCGCACTGCATACTAACCGTTTTCCACTAGGAACGAAAACCTGTCATCACACTATATGACGATGCAAAATATATAGTTTATGAACACTGTTTTATTATGTGATTTATATACATATATTAGTAGAGAGAGGAGCTTGGACAGTGGAGGTGAGCGTTTAACGCACGTTAGATAGGGGTCCCTTAAACCTACACCTGGGTCGCAAGTCCCAGGCACTGTTGAAGCTCCTCTCACTACAACGACGGACCCGGCACTCGCACTGTGAATACATTGAATGATGAGAAGTTTTGACTTATATACATATATGTTTTTGTATAGTTTTTTTGTACCTTAATCCCAAAGTTCTGTTAAGGAAGGCATGTCCAGAAAAGGCGACCCCAAGACAGACTTCAGACAGTCTTCTAAGCCTCGCGAACCTCATGAGATAGTTCCGCCCGTCAATAGACCGGTCTTTTACCAGATCACCGAAGACGCGGTTGTTGGTCTCATCGGATGTAAGAATAAGGATATATTTAACTGCGAAACCTAAAAAGACCTGGATTAGTAGACGAGTATACTAGTAGACTAGTAGACCAGTAGATGTTATGATGTAAGAAAAGGATTTTTGGGTTATTTTTATAACAATTTTAATTTTGTTATAGCAGTTTAAAAAAGGGGAAAATTACGAATTTAGTAATCTTACCACAAGTTTTGTATCTACACACTAGTCTTAATAGTTATTCCTTAATATATAGTAGATTGTTTAATACTTTGTATTTAGTGTGACTACGAGAACTTGTATTAAGAATACATACATTTAATGGTACTGTAAAAATTCCCAAAATAAACCAATTTAGTACTGATATTCAATCCATTACAAGTTGATTTAACTACATACTTTAAGTTTTGAGTATTCCATAACAATTTACCCACCAATATTATCTGGTACGCCGTCTTCATTGAAATCTGAATTCCTAAATATAATATCAGCTTGGGCCACAGCGTGCATCATCCTTTGCACAACGTGATTTATACTCGAGTTAGCGTCCTGGGACATTAAAAGGAATTACCAACTACCCTCATACAAAAAAAAAATTCCAATAATCATAACAATAAAAAAATACATAGTTATTTATTGCTTCATGAATAAATATTTATATATATCATTTTAAATAAATTCCTATGTATGTTTAATAGAATTTTTAATATTAATTTATTATTACGTAATGTTGTTTTGAGACCTTTTCGTAAAATTCCTTATCAGCTAGTAGAAGTAGATCGCATATACGAGCTCTAGCGACGCCGGTTTCCGGGGCTCTGTCTTCTATATGGTATGGGAAGTAGGAGAGCTTGTCGAAACCGGCTCCGACCTGAGTTTTATATCGATAAATAAAAAGAAACAACGCTTAAAACATATTAAACACTGACTCAGAATCGAACTCCTCACTACAAACTGGTTCCAATTCATATAAATCAATAAATTTGTCCCATTAACTAACACATTGAAATAGATGCTAATAACTAGTTTGCATTCTGTTTTAATAGTTTCTTTTATTTATTTTGTACCAAAAAAAATATCTTTTGCGTCTAACTTTGCCCAATACGGTCCACGTTCCTAGGCTATAAATTAAAAAAAGCGCTTTCCAAGCGTTAAAGATTGTGTTAATTCAAACAGACAGACAGCAGGCTTCAATAATATCCTACAAATATTATAATTGCGAAAGTTTGAGTGTGTGTATGTTTGTTACTTCTTCACGCTCAAACGGCTGAAGTGATTTTAATAAAATTTTGTATACAGGAAGCTGACGTCCAGGAATAACACATAGGCTACTTTTTAAATGCGAAAGTAACTCTGTCTGTCTGTCTGTCTGTTACGCTTTCACGCCTAAACCACTGAGCTGATTTTAATGTAATTTGGTACAGAGATAGAGATGACCTTGAACAAGAACATAGGATAGTTTTTATCCCAGACTTTAGAAAGGTTTTGTTGTAAACGCGATATAACCGAACTCCACGCGGGCGAAGCTGCGGGAGGAAAGCTAGTTAATATATATATCACATCACCTGTTCACCTGTGCATGGTCGCGGCGTGGTCTTTTCGGTGCCGCCATATTGTCGTTAATGAGAACCCCGAAAGACTTATCCGGACCGTCTTTACCGTAGGGATCGGCATGCAGTGTTCGGTTACCTGCCATTATATTAACAAGTCTTATCAACACTACTATATTTTTTTTATAAGTGACCAATCCACAACATAAAATAACAAATAAAACCTTTTTTGAAATCAACTATACCTATTTTTTTTTAAATTTAATATTACATCACCTTCATTATGTTTGGATGTGATCAAAATAAAATCATAATTTTCGTTTTATTTTTCAATCTCAGATTTACAATCCGTATAGTTTTTAGAACTAAACGTATTTAAACATTTAAATCAAGTCCAGAGCCGATTTATTTTTTTAACCTTTTGCTTATATGACTTGCATTGCATATGCATAAGTAAGTGTTACGTGTGGTTTTGTTTAAATCGAATAATAGTCTAGTTTTTTTAGATACCTAACCAATTTCAAAGCCAGATTAATCAAAATGCCTTAGGATTTTCGACCTTATCTTAAGTGAGGGTAGTTGGATTTTTTTGATATTTACCTAGATGTAAGACACCATAAAAATGATTATCCTCTCCTACATAACCCTCGGCTGAACCGGCTGCTGGGTCGTCCACGGGGAATCCCCTGGACATTACTATATCCGCTAACGCCGGTGAAAACTTGGGCACCATTTTGACATCCATATCAGGGTCTAATAGCAATGTAGTCTGTTGACTCATCAGTGGTGAGGTACCTTAGAAATTTTATGCTTACTATATCAATTAAATTTCAAAGTTTTGTATATATATAGGATTTTACAAACATATTCTCTAATTCGAATAATGCTTTCCTATTTATAGAGACTAATAAACTTAATTATTATATAAAAACCATGTTTTACAAACTAACCACAGAAAATATTTATTTACGAATTATTTTATACAGATTTAGTTTTACGTAATCAATATATATGATTGAATTTTATCGAGCTTATAAAATATATGTAATTTATTTACCAATAGCCTGAGTTTTAAGACATAACAGATAAGTTTCCTGGCCAAATATCCCTTCCACAACCTGGTAACCATAGGACCTACAAATACTATCAGCCCTCTCCAATCGATCCTGGAGGTCCAAACCTCTAACAGATATAAATAAAACAAAAAGCCAAAACATGACCCAATTAATAATTTTATCGTTGCTATGTCACTATGACATTTCGTAACCTTTAAGCTTTCAAATTTGATTTGATATTCTACATAGAGGAATTATAATAAAGGCTTATTCACACTTATTATTTTAATAGGACTAAAATAAGACAAAATTAATTATCTATACTATTTGTAATATTGAAATTATCATACAGTTAAGCATGCAAACAGTATAAGTCGCTTGCGTGTACACAATACTTAATGAGGAATGAATGAAATAGTATTAATTCGTTCATTCATAATATCGGATTCCATTCAATACCCCCCATTCCCATGTGTAGGACATCACAAAAATGTGTGTAATAGCATTTAACATTCAAATATTATAATCGAATTATTTAAATTGTATAAATATCAATAAAACCAGTATATAAACCACGCGATAGATCCATGATGAACGAGAAACAATAAGAAAAAAAACATTTATATAACACATATATACAATAACTAATAAGCTTCAATATTTATTTATATATATAAGAAAGTTGTGTTAGTTACACTATTTATAACGCAAGAACTGGTGGGAAGATATTGGTGGGGAGATAGCTTAGAACCAGGAGACGGATATAGGATATTTAATTCAGTTCGATCGAAATAAAAAATAATAATAAACTCCCATATCTAGTTATTTATTTATCTATAGGTCAGCTAGCTATACATATATTACTAATTCCAAAATCAACGCGGACGAAGTTGATGGCAAAATCTAGTATTAAATTAAAGGTTTATAATGTATGGATGTAAAAGTTTTTTTTTATCCATCTACCTTCAAAGACTGCTGAACCCTGAAGGTAGTTAACGATGGCGCCTGTCTTCATCTAATACAATACGTCGCGTGATTAATTATAGGATATATTTAAGGAATTCTATGTGAATAGAATTTTGCATACATTAAAATTAATCACGACCCGGGATTAGTTACGCATTCCAGGGACTATTTGAATATTTATAGCAGATTATTTCTATGTAATGCTATATTATAAAAATATATTATAACATATACTACGTGTTCTTAAATAGATGAATAGATTAATTTTCATCCCTACTAATATTAAATGCGAAAGTAATTCTGTCTGTCTGTTTGTCTGGTACGCTTTCACGCCTAAACCACTGAACTGATTTTAAAGAAATTTGGTACAGAGATGGAGTTGACTTTGAGAACATATGATAGTTTTTATCCTAGACTTTTGAAAGGTTCTCTTGGAAACGCGATATAACCGAACTCCACGCGGGCGAAGCTGCGGGCGGAAAGCTAGTATGCATATACTATTTGTGAGTCCGTTCGTTTTAAATAAAAAGAAAATCAGACTTATATACCTATTTACTAAATTATTTCTCAAAATATCGACTAAAATTAATAATAAAATTAATATTTATTTATTTTTTTATTATAATTGAATAATAATATTTAAGAATTTTCTTAATTTTGATGTTATCAATTGTTTTGTTTGGTTCAAATTAGCATCGTCATTACACACGTAGTTTCGTTTCTCATTCAATAATCGAGTTTATTCAAAGATTAATGAATTAAAATATTAACGCTATTTATACGGTAATTATTTGAACTATGACTCAACATACTGTAACCCTTAGTATTTTTAGCAGGGAAGTAAAAATTTCCTATAAACTGAAAGTTTAAAGGTTTCCCATTCATAAATCATGATACATATTCGTAGAACTGACGTATGTTTACTCGTAATTAGGGTTCGAAGATTTATTTTTAACCAAAAGCACTTGACTAGCTATTCTTGGTAAATAACGAAAATAATTAAATATCGTAACGTAATATATCATATAATTAAAAATATCATCAAAATTGTGATTCATTATTGATATATTAAAATGTATGCAAATTGTTATTTTTTTGTATTCAATTAGATATATAATTTGCTTTGAGAATAATTAATTATATTTGGGATTGAGATCGAAAAGGTTCTTTTTTAGATCGTAAGATTAATGCAATAAGCAATAATAAGTAGTGTTTATAAAATAAATACAAAAAGATAGCATCAAATTTTATCTAAATTATGATTTTTTAGCACTCTCACAGTAATATCAATATAAAAAGCCAAATCAGCAACTAGATGTACTTACATTTAGTTAAAATCAGTTTCACTTGGAACACGTACAAACATGGTATTAATTATTCCATGTCCATAAACTTATTACGATTCCACTTATCGTGTGTTAGAAGCGAGTTTTCGGTGAAACTATATTGAGATGAAGTTACACTGGCTCAAATATGTAAATGATAAAACTAAACAGTATATCGCACGAGGAACACAAATTTTACTCACTTCAAATGAGAGTTCCGGGCTAGGCGCGCGTTCCCGCCACTTGACGTACGGGCGACAGATTATAAAACGTGTTCGTATTTATTAATATTAAAAGCAGTGAATAAAAAAAAACAAAATGTTGAAATATACAGCCAAAAAATATTATTCGGAAGGGAGCAAATTAAATCAAGTGGTGGTTGCAGTTTTGAGTAAGTAAATATTTTTTTTATTTTCATGGTATATAGTTTTTTATAGATGCGAGTTTTATATTTTATATTTAAATATTTAGAACCAAGAAAAAATCAGTGTAATTTTTATAAGAGCTTTAAATAATGTTTCGCTCTAATGCTGTTTACAATAAATTAAAATTATTATTTAAAAATAGAATAAATATGATAATATGATTTTATATTTTATATTATTATGTTCCATTTAAAATTATTTAAAATTTGTTTTTAAAAAGTATTATAAATCTTAAATAAAAAAAATATTAGGGAAAAAACATTTTTATTTGAAAATCATTTTATTTATTCCATAGTATGTTTCATAAACTATAATATACATATTTATTAATTATTCGGTACGGTGAATGAACGGCACAAAAAAAAAACTACATACACATATAAAATATATTATAATCCATTTTAATACTTGTAGATTCACGGCAAATAATAAGCTTTCTTATTTTCCTAGAAATCCGAGCGTAAATTATAGAGAAAAAGGTGTAATAATGTCGATAGTTATTAAAAAGTCATATGACCATTACAAGAGATTGAATGTATCTAAATAGCTTCGGTAATGCGAAATTAAATACTTTCAAGAAAAGTTGTTTTATATGCAACGCTCGCCCAATGCCCTTAAGCTTGTACTTTAAGGATGCGTTCAATATATTATACAGGGTGACTGGTGAATTACTATCAATATTTAAGGAGAATACTCGGTACATGATTCTCATTCGAATTATGTAAAAAAAATAGGCACTTAATTTTTGACCAAATTTCCGTATAAATAAATAAAGTGTTGACACGTTCCAAGTGTGGACGCGTGCGGCGGCGTGCTGATACAACACTACGCCACCGCACGCGTATGTGTGAGTGTGTGTGTATACCTAATCTGTAGGATGTTCACACGATGCGTAATTAATTACATAACTTTTGGTTAACTTTACTTAGAAGTTTATTAATATTTATGTTATATTAATTTTTATTTTGTCATATATGATCGTCAAATATCACGTCCTCAATTATCGATAGTAATTCACCAGTCAGCCTGTATATTATTTTGAATGTAAATTCAATTTTTTTTCTAAACATATCTAAGTGGACGGTTTAGTCGTAACGGTCGGCCGGTATTTTGGTCGTAACTGGTCGTCTTGCATCAGACGAGTCTGCGAACGAGTTTGTCGAAAGTTTCATCCGACAAGGTCACGGCTGTGTAAAGTTCGCATCGAAGCGACCTTAAAATACGTTGGCGATCACTGAACCCATTAACATTTGAAAAAATATACATAATATTAATCACATATGCTAATAATGCATTATAGATTCTTTTAAACTGAACTTGTCATATAGAAAACCCGTTTTTTATAGGGAAAATAATAGATATTTTCCTGTAAAGATACGCTCAGAGCAAAACTATTATATTATTATGTATAAAATTATAAAAAAAATAATAATATTGAAATATTCCTACACTTTGTAATTGATTTTTTAAAATTATGTTTTATATCATAATTAGATATTTATACAATTATATAAATTTGTAAATGATCGTTGTAATAATATCTTATATGAAACAAAAACTTAAAGTATAAAATAGAAAAAATATTTAAAAATACAACTAGTTTGATAAATAATTATAAAACATAATATTTTTAACACACAATATATTTGTTACATTTAAATTGACAGTCAAAATACGTATTTTTATTTACTTATAATTTAAGATTATTTTTTATCTGTGACCTCTGGCGTGTTAGAAATTTCGTTTTTTTTTTAATTTCTATATATGCATACAATGACACATCATAAACATTTATTTCTTTTTCATTTTCGAAGGAGACGCAAAGGTTGAGACTATACTGCCAATAATAAGATAAAAGAAAAAAAGTATTTAAGAATAATGCTATGCAAAGTTATATTAGTTATTTAATAAAGAGACCATTAGCTAATACTAAGAAAGAGTCCAACATCTGGTTACACAGTATAGTTAAACATTATTAACCTAAATACATCTAATAAAAATCATCATTTCACAAATGCAATGTTTTTATTCGTAGGAATATATGAAAAATATTTAGTTTTAGGTTATTCAGTCTATGTCAAGTTCATCTATAATAATTAAATAACCTATTTTTGTATACCTAAATGGGTTAAAGAGTTATGAGTAAGAAGTTAATGAAGGCATCCATTTTGGATAAGTAATTATTTAAGGAATTACGTAATTGTCGTCGCTAAGTGAAGAAACAAATATAATCATGAATACTTAAGTATTTTTTAATAAATATATAAATAATAATCAATATATACGTTTTATTTAACTTTGGTAAATTAATGAAAATAAATTTCACTTTTGTCACAAAGCTTTTTAAATAATTCTTTGAAAGTAATTTCAATAAAAACTTCTTTATAGTGCCAGTAATATTATTATTCGCTATTAAATAAATCATTCGATTAATAACGCACGTTTAGTTTTATTTGATCGAAATAATTATGATTTAAAAGCGTTTCAAATGAATAACGATAAAGAACGTCTTTATTATAAACTATAAATCAAGAAGAACTGGTCTTATCTTTTGTTAGTAAAATAAAAAGAATGCTTAGTTATGACGCCATCTTGTTCTGGTGAAGGAGGTTTTACCTGATTTTAATTTATTTCAATAAACATTCCAGATTATACGAACTGTACCGAACTCGAGATATTTTTTGTCGTCAGAAAACTATAGAATTATAATATAAAACCATTAGCCTGAATAGTTTACTAATATTTTTAGAAAATGTAGATATAAAAAATATATATACGGACTCTTTTCACGATGTATGTAATACACAAATGTCGCTGTACGTTAAAACATTATGTAGCGTAATGTCCACAATTGATTGAGTTGTTTTGTTCGCTGGTTAACGCATCTGATTAATGACTAACCAAGAATGAACAACAAAAAAACACCGTCTTATTAACCGTATTAATTTATTGGCACAATATAATACGCCATTATAATGAAACTAGTTGTCATGCTCTGTCAAATGTATTTTGTAAACAACTCTAAATGTGTCAGATCGAATGACGTAAAGCGAAAAAATAAATGAAATTTAACATTTTTGTGTAACGAAATTATAAATGTAATTTAATATTTTATCCTCGAGCTTTTTCAATCAAATATTGCCAGAAGCTTCGGGATTCGATGAAGAGAAGTCGAGAAACTAATAAGTATAAACAAACGTATCACTGTCCCAACAGTAATTGGAGTGAATGAAATATCAGCTGTCATTTTACGTAACTTATTAGATATATAAATAGGTTTTATAATCTTTGGACTTTGTTTGTAATAAAAAAATAATAAAGTGAAGCCGACATTTTGACTATTTGATCAGAGCTTTCAAATATTTTCAATTTATTTATATTTTTAATATTATTGAAGAAAAAATCTAAGCTATTTAAAAATCTAGTATTCAATATATTTACTTATCATTCGAGTCTGTAGGTAACCGTTAGAATTCCTTAATTTTCATCAAGTCGTTTATTTTAAATGTCTCACGTTTCGCATGTATAATTTATGAACATATCTGTGTACTACGCTTTATATGTTATCTGTTAATACCTGTTATAGGAATGACACTTTCTAATGACGTAGGTGATTGAACTTATATTATACTTACTCTAATAATTATACTTAAAAACATATAAATGGATAAAGTTTTCGAATTTAATACTATAATGAATTAATGAATTAATGAATCCCTTTTTCTCTTGGTCACGGCATCACGCGTGAATGGCTGGAAATTCACTAATTCTTTTTCCGTTTTATTTGCTATTATTAGGAGAAGGTTCCTATGAAAATTACTAAAAAAAAAACTACAATATTTTACTTTTCTAATAAAATAATGTGTCACTGGCAGTAATATTCACGTTGCCATAAAAACAAGGAAAAAATTAAAACAAATAAACTTCATTCAGATAAAAAGGTAACAGATATTTCTTGATTATTTTGCAGTACGAAGTTCGCAGGTTCAGCTAGTTTATATGTTCTAAAATATGGATGTGGATGTAATATATCTTCTATCTTCTATATATATAAAAATGGATTGATGTTCCTTAGTCTCGCTAAAACTCGAGAACAGCTGAACGGATTTATCTTATCTTAGTCTTGAAATGTTCGTGGAGGTTCAGGGAAGGTTTAAAAGCTGAAAAAAATTGATTCATTACTGGGAAAACCATAAAAACAGCCCTTTCCTATTTCCCATACAAACGTTTTTTTTGACATTAGATTTGACAACTAACTAATATGTCAATCATTCTGTCGCACTTCAAAACACGGAGATTTATGACTTAAAGGTAAACTCCATAAACATAAATAAAACAAAACGTAACAGCTACTTGATTATATGTCGATATAGAGTTCGCCGGGTCTTCTAGTGTTTGATAAAGATCAATATGAATAATACTTGTACATATAAAGTTACATAGCATACATAATAATTACGCAATGCAATTGTTTTGTTTGTCACATAAATTGAACATCGATCTATCAACCGTTTGCTATTGATTGTATTTCTGAGAATTTTTAGCGTGTGTATAACAAGTAAATATAAAGATTTTAGCACCAAATTATGTGTACAAATAACAAAGTTTATAACTGGATATGATCGCATTACTATAGTTTTTTGATCGTCTGATTTTGAAATGAATATTCCACTGAAAGTATTTTTTTCTCATAACATCAATTGACACTGAATTCCTGTTATTGGGAACAATTTTAAAAACAAACATCGCTCGCACAGATCCGAAAGAAACTTAACTGTTATTGCCGTTGCAAACATTGCGTCATTTGTAATAATTAAATTAATTAAAGAATATATGAATATATATATTTTTTCTAAGATTATTGTTGTTTAAATTATAATGAATTATATTAAATAAATATATTTGATAATAATATTTTATTTTCTTAAGTTTTTATGGTATGTTACATTTTTATTTTCTACTAGCTTCTGCCGCGACTCCGTCTGCATGGAATAGTGACTTCCGGCAGATTTTTGGTTCTTCCCACATAGTTCGAATCGAATGGTCGAGTTCCCGTAGAATTTTCAGGATAAAACCTATGTTTTTTTTATTCACAATGAAGTACTCTTAACCAACAACATATTTATTTGTTTATTTGAATAAAGATTAATATTATTATGTTGATACAATTTTAACAAATTATTTCGACCAAATTAGGTACCATAAAAACTGTTTTTGTGAGTTAATCTTAAAAGATAGACATATACTGTCGCGGACTGTTTTTTAGATCATTAAAAGAGCTATTATTCTTTACTACATATTTTTTGTGTATCTTGAACCGTTTTCACGGCGCACGCAACGGAAGGCTTCAAAGATGAAATAATTTCTCCCGTTTTTTACACATTTACCACTATATCTTTGCTCCTATTGGTCGTAGCGTGATGTTATATAGCCTACAGCCTTCCTCGATAACTGGACTATCCAACAAAAAAAAGAATTATTCTATTCGAACCAGTAGTTTCGGAGATTAGCGCTTTCAAACAAACAAACAAACAACTCTTCAGCTTTATAATATTAGTATAGACTAGCAACATATTTGAAAACTTTTATAATTTATATACTCAACTGTCGGTAATAATCTAAAGAGGTTTAATTTACACATCAAAATATGTCAATTTGTAAAAAAAATCAAATCAAGTATTTAGGCTGTACACGAAAAGTTTTTTAATGATATTTATTGTAATAATTATTGAACTATATCTGCTTCATGGACAAAAAGCATAAATGTTGATTCAGAAGGTGTTGTCCAAATGTAAAAAAAAAAAAGTTTTACTTATATTTTGTCAAAGAACAAAGTGATTTCACAAAAGCTAATTATTTTTGTCACAAATATATATGTATATAGATTTTAGTTCTTACAGTTTTTATGTGTAATTTTTTGTATTAAACATTGAGCGTAAATTCATTTAAATAATTTGAGACTATACATTAATTTCGGATTTAGTAACATGTGTATAGTTGAGGGTGAATTAAAGATCCTATGTCCGTCTCTTGGTTCCAAGCTATCTCCTCATCAATTTCCAACCATATCCCTACAGTTCTTGAGATATAAATATTGTAACTAACACTACTTTATTTATATATATCATCAATTAACACTTTTATTCTCTTTCAGTGGTTCTGCCAGTGTTTTCCTACGGCATGGCCGTCGGCTGGCTATCACCTATGGGTCCGTACCTCATGTCCGAGGATACCCCGGCGGCGGAACCAGTTCATCCTGACGTCATATCCTGGATGGCTTCCGTCGCTTACCTGGTGGGAACGCCAGCTGTGTTCCTGTTCGGCTACATCGTTGACAACTTCGGTAGAAAGAAAGCGCTTATGTTGACATCTTTTTCAATGGCGGTAGGTTATGTAATGATGTTAAAGATTTTTGTTTATACATAAATATAAATAATTATATGGTTTTCGGATATAATATCATATAATTTGTATATATTTACTTTATATTATCCAAATTTTCGATTAATCAAGATTATGGACGAAAGTGTTTTGACCAATAGTAGTAAAGTCGAAAACCATAGTTTTATTTAAAGGTATTATATATTTGAATGTAATTTGAATTATGGATGCCTTTATATAAATTTATACGCCATATATATGTGAAAAAGTTTGATTAAATTAAAAATAAAACTGTACACATTAAGTATTTAAAGATTAAACAGCAATAATGACGTAAATTCTGAACAGAGCTGATCTTCTTACACTGTTGGACCGAAATTAAGTAAACATATTATATAAAAACCAACGTATGGAAACTGGCTTTAAAATGAAATAAACTTTATCAAAATTTGTCTATTCGTTTAGGAGCTATGTCATCATATACAGACATAAAAATTAACGCCCTTCCTTGGTTTTAACTGAGTTTAAAAACTATGAAGTTTTCTTTCAATATATCAAAATACTGTTACTATAGTAACTGATGTTTGAGACGTCTTTGTAATGAGAAATTTTGTTTTCATTCCTCATACTCGGAATGTACTGTTTTGATTTGATTATAGGGTAGAAAATGCTTTTCCCCTCCCTAGGGCGGGAAAAACTCTTACAAATTACTTTCCACCCAATGGCCGGAATGAATTTCAAAAATAATACTACTGACAGCATTACATTATATGTAAAAATTAAAAAAATGCTGAGACAACAATCTACTATTCTCTTCCTCGATTCATCAGATGGAGACAATTAAGATTCAAAAATCATTTGGCTAACAGAAATTCACCTGGAATTATTTCGTTGCTTTTAACTCAAAACCAATTAGACTACCAATTTATTATAACCAAATATATTAATGGTCATTTCTAAAGTATTAAATATCCTTATAAACTGTTACCAATTCATTATATCCCTACTAATACCTATTATAAATGCAAAAGTAACTCTGCCTGTCTGTCCGTCGGTCTGTTACGCTTTCACGCCTAAACTGATTTTAATAAAATTTGGTACGGAGATAGAGTTGACCTTGAGAAAGACCATAGGATAGTTTTTATCATAGACTTTTGAAAGGTTCTCTTGGAAACGCGATATAACCGAACTCCACGCGGGCGAAGCTGCGGGCGGAAAGCTAGTAAAATATATATACTAAGTTATGTAAATAATAACATAGCAACTAAGCCGTAAGTCTGTTTTCACATAACTTATTATACGTTACAGATATTTCCTATTATTCATAACAGTTGACGTGCAAACTATTTACTAATAAAATATCTAGATATATAATGAGATCTAAAACTTTCGAGATTCATTTAAATGAAACTAATATTCTTCGGATATACTACGAGTGCATTATTTTTGTAAAAAAACTGCATACTCCCGACGTTTCGGCTACTTGTCAGCAACCGTGAAAAATATTATTTTCATTTAAAATTTTAGATATTTTCTTTTAAGTTTATACTTATGTTAGTTTTGTCCAAAGTTTACATCAATCAGTATTACTACAAGTTCGTTACGTCACTACAAACGGTGCGTTAAAAGTACTTCATTCATAAATCTTAACACATTATAGTATTAATAGGTTATTATATGACAAATGGTAGATTCTGTTACATTTGAAAACATCGGTAAAATCATAAACTTTCAGGGATTAGCTTATAACAATCTTAAGACGTATTGTTTTTAAATTATTTTGACTTTTTCTTTAAGCAATACTATGAATATTCTCGGTAAAATCATTTATTATTTAAATATTTTCAGCGATTGGTTTATGAAAATTTTAAAACTTTTGTTTTAAAATTCTTAAATATTTTTAACAAAAACTCGTTTATATATTCTATTCAATAAGTATTACGAGCTCACCAATGAACTTACTAAGAATAGTATCTAGATAAATTTATTTGAAGTAGAGGTATAACAGCTAAATCTCTCCACAACATACTAAAAGACTTGGGCCTGTCCAGAACTAATCAATTCATCCTTAGAGCGTACTTCGAACTCAGCCCTAGTAGGTTCTTTTCAAATTTGGTTAGGTAGAGAGAGGAGATTGAACAGTGGAGGTGAGCGTTTAACGCGTAAGATAGGGTCCCTTAAACCTACACCTGGGTCACAAGTCCCAGGCACTGTTGAAGCTCCTCTCACTACAACGATGGACCCGACACACGCACCGTGAATACATTGGATGCTAATAAGTTTTTTTACTTATACTTACTAACTAAATACGTAGACTCAAATCAATGGCCATACTAAGAACAATTATTACAGAAAACTTATACAGGGTGACTGGTGAATTACTATCAATATTTAAGGAGAATACTCGGTACATGATTCTCATTCGAATTATGTAAAAAAAATAGGCACTTAATTTTTGACCAAATTTCCGTATAAATAAATAAAGTGTTGACACGTTCCAAGTGTTCCAAGTGTGGACGCGTGCGGCGGCGTGCTGATACAACACCACGCCGCCGCACGCGTATGTGTGAGTGTGTGTGTATACCTAATCTGTAGGGTGTTCATACGATGCGTAATTAATTACATAACTTTTGGTTAACTTTACTTAGAAGTTTATTAATATTTATGTCATATTAATTTTTATTTTGTCATATATGATCGTCAAATATCACGTCCTCAAGTATCGATAGTAATTCACCAGTCACCCTGTATATATAAGTTCTATATACATATAATATGTTGATATATCTTGTCGCCTAATTATTATGAATTGTTATTTTCTTACATACGCATGCTGTTATTACCTTTAATTAAGATGCCACCTGTATAATTTTTTTATATCCATGTGTCTAAAATGTTCCTGGTGTGTATTCTTGTTGGTGATCTACAAATAAATAAATAAATAAATAAATAATAAACTTTTTTGCAGGTTTGTTGGGGTTTAAAACTATATTCCACCGAGACCTGGGCGTTGATAACAGCTAGAGCTATCGTTGGTTTCGGAGTGGGTGGTTCTTATGTTGTCACTCCATTATACATTAAAGAAATAAGCGAAGACTCCATTCGTGGGACTCTGGGCAGTCTCGTGATATTATCTCAAAATTTGGGAAACCTAGTTGTGTATATATTGGGAGAATATGTATGTTATCATGCGACCCTATGGATCTGTCTGGCTGTACCGTTAATACACCTACTCGTGTTTCCCGCCATGCCAGAGACTCCATCTTATTTGTTGAAGAGCGGGAAAGTTGAGGTAAATAATATAAAAAATATATATTAAAATTCTATTTATATTTTTAATCACAACATTTCTTATGTAATTTAAATCGTGTTACATATTTTAAGAATGAAGATAACCGTCATAAAACGATTTGTATTTAAAAAAAATAATTCTATGTATTTTTGTACTTTTTTTTAAACAACGGTCTCTATAATACAGACGAAGGTTCAATATTTACAGCCTTTGCCGACATACAATATTCTTAAACAAATATTTATTTTCAAATACGTGCCTTGTTTAATATATTTATACTTAATATACTTATTAACGTTCCTCGTAATAGCAAAAATATATTTAAATGAAGATTATGTAAATATTTCGGATTCCATTAATGACCTTCAGTTACGCAAATATTTTATTTCTTCCGGTTTTTATGTTATATGATAAGAATTTTTAAACGATCAGAATTTTTCGCACTTCGTTAATTATTTATATAAACTGGCAATAAAGTCTGTGATGTCATCCTTTTGACATATTTTATTACATAATTTAATCGGGTTATTTAATATATTATTTTAACTACAATAAAATGGACAAATTATACATAATCATTTAGCAAAAAAAATTACTAAGTTCATATAGCTTTTATAGGGATTAGTCTGAAAAAAAGTCTATAAATTGATAATGTTCTAAGTACCTTATATGTTATATATTATGAAAAAATCATATTAAATTTTATAATGACATAGATAATTTAAATTAATACATGTATATTGATAAGTCCATAATTTTTTCTGTTTTAGGAGGCGAGAAGCGCCTTAGCTTGGCTGCGCTGCCGGCAGACCGGCGACGCCAACGTAGACACCGAACTGCAATCTCTTCTCTTGGAACTAGAACAAAGCAACTCGGGAAAATTCTTCACCACATTAAAAACATTAGGTGAGTACAGAGTATTTAACCAAAGAGGTTTCATGTCAAATTTCCCGCCAAAAAGTATTCATTATACAGGGGACTGGTGAATTACTGTCGATACTTGAGGACGTGATATTTGACGATCATATATGACGAAATAAAAATTAATATAACATAAATATTAATAAACTTCTAAGTAAAGTCAACCAAAAGTTATGTAATTTATTACGCATCGTGTGAACACCCTACAGATTAGGTATACACACACACACACACACACACACACACTTGGAACACTTGGAACGTTTCCACACTTTATTTATTTATACGGAAATTTGGTCAAAAATTAAGTACCTATTTTTTTTACATAATTCGAATGAGAATCATGTACTGAGTATTCTCCTTAAATATTGATAGTAATTCACCAGTCACCCTGTATATCTGTCATAGATTATATCACACAAATAATTATGTTTGTTATAACGCCATTATAACGAAGTATTGAGCGTACATAACTTATTCGAGTGTTCTTTAAACATAACGTATATTAACGAGCCGGCTCTCACGTAGCCTGACCGATGGTTTACCAATTTGCTTCTGTAAATATAACTGTTCTATCGCCGTCCGTTTTATGTGACTCGTGACTCGTGACGTCACACGCCACAGCACTGACAACTCTCTGAACTTGACTTTGACACTTGCGTAATTGTATGTATAATAAGTTTGTTCTATATTACGAGGTTTTTATTTTATATATGGATTAAGCCGTGATTAGAATTAAACGTTGAAACATATTATAAAAAATATATTATAGGGGTTTTAATTTTTGCAAAAATTTCAACGAAATATTTTAATTAATTTACAAACTCCGTGTATATTAAATCAAAAACAATGAATAAAAAGTAGCCTTTGTGTTTCCTTATTACATAAGCTACCTGACAATAAAAATCCTGTCAAAATCGGTCAAGCCATTTCACAGTTTATCTAGTTGTTTATCTAGACAATATTGGTAAAATAAAATATATTTGGCGTATATACCATACTTCATATATTTGTGTTATTTCAATATAACAAATGGACACATTGGACACTCCAATTTTATTTACATATATACTTATGTATGTATAGATTATACATAGTACACTGTACAAGACTTACTAATTTATTATAAAGATACCTATTAATTCTCATAAATACGAGAAAATTACTTCTTATGTAAGATGTCAGTACCGTTTGTCCTTAAATTATTTCGTAATACATAAAATAAAATTATTATATAAATTATATAGAGAACCGATGGATTAATTATCCCATTTATAAAAATACTAGTAAACCTGGCGAACTCCGTTTCGCCACCAGAAGGCTTTTATATAACATTTCGTTTGGTGATTAAAAGATGAAGAATTTTTTGTTTTATATTTGAAAAGGAAAATTTTTATTTCATTTCACAACAGTAATGAATTCATTTCGATTACAAAAATGAAGTGTTATTTAGTTGAACTTCTCTAAGTAAATGAAAGTGAATCCAAAGTAGATACCGAATCGAAGCGTTATACGTGTCCGCAAATTATCCGTTTCATCGAAGTGGTCCTTTGTAAACCACATTTTTTGTTTTTTGGTCTAACTTTAACACAAATAAAGCGTATGGTTTCCAAACTCGTGAACATACAAAATATAACTGCCCATGTGAAAAACAATGATTTTCTAAATTTATCCCGCAAATACTAAATGGTTTTAAGAGTTCAAACTACAAACACATTACCTAAATATTTTTATTTTTATATAGTAGATTTCTTATAAATATCTAATTGTCATCCATACGTCATTACATATCTGTCATTATACGTCAATTGCATAGCTGTCAATTGTGTTATTCCACGTTTTATAGTGACTGACGTTTCATGTCAAGTTCCACGGGAATGCTGTCGAACGGGATAAAAAGTATCCTATTGGAATTTCCTGATTCTAAACTACCTCCCTGCCAATTTTCAGCTGAATCGGTACAGCCGTTCTTGGGTTATAAGTGAAGTCACTAACACGACTTTCTTTTATATATATAGATGTACAATAATATTATTGCCATACCAAAAAATAAATTAAATTTTCATATTATTTTGTTCCTCAAACAAAATAAGGACATGAAATTAATCAAATGGTAAGCTTGATTTACAAAGCAACAGATCTTCCGAGAATTCAATAATTATTTTTATGGGACTTGCGTTTTTGACAACTAATTATATTGTTGAATGACAGTTGATGAAATATTACGAAGCTTTTCGGATTAAATGTTTTAATGAACAAAGATGAACAAATATAAATCATATTTTGATAATAATTAAGTTTAATTCAGAATGAAGTTATATTAGCTGACGTTTTATGTATGTATATGTAAAATTTTTGTGTGTACCCATTTAATTAAACAAAGTTTTGTTGATATTATGTGTTTTTAATATTTTATCTCTATATAGTAATTGTGGTCTCAGCAGACACGATGAAAGTACGTTGGAAGTATGTAGTTATAAAATAATGAAAATACTTAGTATTCTAAAATATTAGTTTCATATAAATTAAAAGTCTATTTGTATTGTTTAATATGAAGAAATAATTAAACAAGTTTTATATAAGTAATTTAAGATAATGTAACGTTTATTAATTTTTATATTTTGCATTGGCAACTATTATGATATGTATTTGGAATATAAAGATTATACACTTTTAACAAAGCATTTGAGGTACTCGTATTTTTGTATTAATTAATAGTTATGTGGTTGTCGTGGTGGCCTAAAGGTTAAAAGTCCGCCTCTCATGTATTAGGACGCGGGTTCGAAACCTGGCCAGTACCAATGTGATTTTTTCGAGTTATATTATGTACTTTCTAAGAATATTTAGACATCACTGACAGACGGTGAAGGAAAACATCGTGAGGAAACCTGGACTTATAGTTTTCAACTATAAGTTTGAAATCACCAACCCGTCTTGAGCTAGCGTGGTGATTAATGCTCAAACCTTCTCCATGTGAGAAGATACCTTTGCTCAGTAGTGGGCTCTGATAGGCTGATGATGACAAGAGCTTCTCGTTTCTAATTCATTAACTATATAACACTAACTATTAAGCTACGTATGTAGTGTGTATTAGAACTTATTTTAATAAATTTAATTTAGACATTTCATACGACATTACTGCTAATATTGTTGTATCGTTATTTTCATTCTATTTGCAACAAATAGGATTTAAATACGTAGGGTGGCTATCGAAGGTTCTAGGAAAATTACGAAACATACTTATATGTATATATATTAAAATACGAATTACATATTAAAACTCATAACCTATACCTAAGACTACATGATTGCCCCGATGTTAGGATAGCAATGACATTCCATAGCTTGTGTGTATCAGGAATCTTCTGGTTCAAACGGCTTGGTGTTCGTTCCGCGGAGTCAGCAGCGTCACTCTTTATATTATACTAGAAGACCCGGCATACTTCGTATCGCCCTATAATCAAGAAATATCTGTTACGTTTTTTTATTTATATTTTTGGAGTTTACCTGTAAGCCATAAATCTCCGTGTTTTGAAGTGCGACAGAATGATTAACATATTAATTAGTTGTCAAATTTAATGTCAAAAAAAAAAAACGTTTGTATCAACAATTGCTAATAAATTAAAAATTAATAAAAAAACATGGTAAATTGTGAATCTAAACCATTCCCAGATCCCCTTGAACACACACAAAAAATTTCATAAAAATCGGTCCAGTCGTTTGAGAGAAGTTCAGTGACATACACACTCACAGAAGAATTATATATATAAAGATTTAACCCATACAAAGATATCGCCCTGGCGATGTTCAATCAATTTTTCATATGTGGCGCGTACGTAACAATTTCGTAAATATTTTTTATCTTCTATATATATAAAAATGGATTGCTGTTCCTTAGTCTCGCTAAAACTCGAGAACAACTGAACGGATTTATCTTATCTTAGTCTTGAAATGTTCGTGGAGGTTCAGGGAAGGTTTAAAAGGTGAGAAAAATTGATTCATTTCCGGGAAAACCCTAAAAAGAGCCCTTTTCTATTTCCCATACAAACGTTTTCTTTGACATTGGATTTGACAACTAACTAATATGTCAATCATTCTGTGCGATTGAAACAGGAGAAACCTAATTATTAATGGCCTCTAAGACGGAATAGAGTTCGCCTGGTCAGCTATACATACATATATTACTCTTGACCAAACTAACGCGGACGAAGTCGCGGGCAAAAACTAGTAATATATAAAGATGTCGCCTGGGCGATGTTCAATCAATTTTTCACATGTAGCGAGTATAATAATGTTTTTTTATATGTATCCTCAGTATCTGACCCGAGCACGTTCCACGCGTTCCGCATCACCCTCACCATAACCCTGGCTCGTGAGCTGTGCGGCTGCCTGGCTGTGTTACACTTCGCGTCTCTCATCTTCAGCAAGGCGAGCGGTGACTGGGTGCTGACAGCTAATCAACAAGCTACTATACTGGGCGTGGTGCAGATGATAGGATCATGTACAGCGTCGAGCTTGGTCGAGAGAACTGGCAGAAAGGTGATATTATGGTGATATTATATAAGATCTAGGAGTTTCTAGAGATCGAATGAGGTTTAGTTCGTCTGATTGTAGTTATTTTGTATTACATCAAATTATAAATATTTATGTTATAGAATAGAAGCTTATAATAATATTATATAAATACACAAGGAAAAGTTTTTAAATATAAATTGATTGTATTCATCTTTTTCATTTTTTTTGTCACAGTTATTTATAAGTAAGTGTAGGTTATCGCCTCTGTGTTATAATTACTCTATCGAGCTCAAAGCCTCTGCGTCATAATTACTCTATATTGCTATCACCTCTGTGTTATAATTCCTCTATATTGTTATTCTCTCTGTGTTATAATTACCCTATATCGCTATTCCCTCTGTGTTATAATTACTCTATAATCTATATCTCTATATTATCCCCAGCCCCTGCTAGGAGCGACCTGCCTAGTGTCAGGCCTGGCGCTAGTGTCTCTGGGCGGCTGGTTCCTGTGGGCGGGCGGCGCCGCAGCCTGGCTGCCCGCCTTCGCCCTTTGCCTCTGTATCTACTGTGACGCGGCCGGATTACAACCTGTACCATTCGTCGTCATGACCGAGATGTTCTCATTCCAGGTTGGCTTACAAAATAATCTATATTTATATTTTTTTTATTCATACTAAATGCATGCCATAAAATTAAACTAATGAATTTTTTGACATTTTATTTTATGTATCAAAATTCTGAACTGTTGGCAGAATCATTAGTCTGAACTATTCATAACCGTAAATATTTTTTTTAAACTATATTTGACATTGACTTTGACATATGTCGAAACAGTTCTTATTTTGACAGTATATTTTTGGCGGAATATAATACGTCTTTACACGGATTGAATCATATTTTAAAACATAATAAGATCTAAGATTTTCGCGAGTTTTATTCATTTATATGAAACTAATATATTTCGGATTATACTACGCGACTCACGGGCAGACGAGACGTAATAACGATTGCTGAAAAGTAGCCGAAACTCCGGAGTATGTAGTTATATTACAAGAATAACGTCGCGTAGAATAATCCGGAATATATTAGTTTCATTTCAATATGTAATACAATTAACTAACCAGTGTTTTTGTGTTTCCAGTACCGCGGCACGGTGACATCAATAGTGATAGCGTTCGCGTGTGCTCTAGTATCAATCGAGCTCCGTCTGTTCCACCCGCTGGCCACTCACGTCGGTCTGTACGTCATCTTTTGGATCTTCGCAGCCGTCTGTCTCATCAGTACAGTGTACATCGTGTTCTGCGTCCCGGAGACCAAGAAGCGATCCATCGAAGAGATATACGCTGAACTAGGCGGCAAGAAGAACAAAGATTGTGAAGCTGCCGTCACTAGGCTTTAATATTTAATGACTAGGTGGAAAGTTATCGTGAAATATATGTATGTACTTGGTTTAAGTTGTGTTGGAGTGTGACGTCGGATCTGTATGTATCCATTATGACGCCGAGATTCGTTTTATCCTTAATGTTAAATTAAGAAGCAAACATTTAGACGATGTGTACTATAACAAGTTGAACGTCCATGGCATCTAATCACCGCTGTCCGAACTATGTGAATTTGTATATAATCAGTATCCGATACTGTAAAGACTGCTGTTTATTATAAATATTTAAAAGTATTATAACTTTTTATTTACCTGAACCCGCCTCTTTAAACGAGATTATGTTTTAATTATTTGGATATTCCTTAAATTAAGCTGGTATTTGAGATCGTCGTGTATGCTTACCGAATATTGATAAGCCTGACTCATAAATTCATTAAGTTGTTTTATTATACAATTACGACGTTTTTCCGATTCCTAACAGTTTATAAACTGTTCCAAAGTCAATGGTTATACAGGGTGACTGGTGAATTACTATCAATATTTAAGGAGCATACTCGGTACATGATTCTCATTCGAATTATGTAAAAAAAATAGGCACTTAATTTTTGACCAAATTTCCGTGTAAATAAATAAAGTGTTGACACGTTCCAAGTGTTCCAAGTGTGGACGCGTGCGGCTGCGTGCTGATACAACACCACGCCGCCGCACGCGTATGTGTGAGTGTGTGTGTATACCTAATCTGTAGGGTGTTCACACGATGCGTAATTAATTACATAACTTTTGGTTAACTTTACTTAGAAGTTTATTAATATTTATGTTATATTAATTTTTATTTTGTCATATATGATCGTCAAATATCACGTCCTCAAATATCGATAGTAATTCACCAGTCACCCTGTATATTGGTTATATATTTTTACTGTTATTATACAAATGATAAATACAAACTTAGGCATCTCATTTAATAATTATTTCAATCAAATTGAGTCAAGTAAATCGAATTCAAGGAAAACTCACTTGGTTACTGTAGTGACTACTGACTAGTGAATGGTTGGAATTTTCAAACAACAGATTCGAATATACAGACGCGCACGTCGTAATGATTTGGTTAAGTCAGTTTTATTTTGAAATATTAATATCAATATACATCGCTAGTCGATATAGTAATAAGGGTAAATAACTCATCTGAAGGAAGATAGCGGTAATTATTTTGAAATGAAACTTGTTAAGTGAATTCCAACAAGGTTGCGTTAAACGTTTAACGCTGTGAGCGAAAGAAAGATACACAAATGTGGAGAGTAGGAGAGAGAAAAAGAATGTGTTGGTAGTTTCCAAGCACATACGCTTGGTATTCTTGTTATTCAGTTAAGCAAACAGTGTGAGCGTCGTGAAATTAACTGAAATGTTTCGAAATCAGCCGAAGTTTCACGTTTTACACGAGAAGGAACTCCACGCACTATTTTTATTTGATTTATGACATCCAGTTAAACATTTTGTCATAACACTGTTTTTACAAAGAGATAAAAAATATCGTGGATTTCAATATATAACGCCCTCTAATTTAAGTTACATTAACTTAAATGTTTTTATACTTTAGGGGGAAAAGTCTTTATTTATAGGATGAGCTATAAACAAACCCGCAGATTTGTATTATCAAGCATATTTTATTTATATGAAAAGTTGGTCAGTACCTTTATATACTTAGTATAGTTAAGAAAATTTTCAACATTTCAATCATGGCATGTATAGGTATGATCAGCGTTAAAAGTGGATATAATTTTTGGATCGAAATACCATGAGAGAATTGTTTGTGAAAATAAATTAACATTGTTTCATTTTATGTCGTCTTAAACATCTAAAAATCCTATTAATAAAGGAACGATTCCGATAACAATACTGAGCTATGTATTTAAAAACTTTGTAATATATCACTCTATTTAAAACATCTTCTCAGTTACTACTCTTAGCCACGCTTATGATGATCACTATATGTTTCCTTCTGTGATCATTTCCATAAGTACTGCTCAGTGTAAGAAAGAGCATCGGACACCTCCATCGAATAAGCATTACGCATTAATTTAATAGAAAAAGAACACGTGATATTAGCACTTTTGTTGTACAATTTAATCGTAACCTTTCAATAGGAAAGTTTTGAGAATTCTTCCATATCCTGCTAACGATTTCTGAAACCCTTATAACATATCAAACAACCACGCTCAGTGTTTAGATTGATATCAGTTGTAAATTATAATACATTTTCAGATTTCAAAACCGATAAACGTAACGAATCACTTTTACTTGGTGCTGCTCATTACACGTTTTTTGATGTCATTACTAACCTTTGTTAATAGTATTATGGCACCATGATTTATTCTGTATGAACAGTTTTATAAGTTGTGTTTAAGGCCGCTCAGACAGCGACAGCGCCCCACGCCTCTCCCACTGGGGAGAGAGGTGAACGATCATCGAGGACTGGCGGCCGGAAGCCGTCGTCCGCCTCACGCTCAGGACGCCGCGCCACGTCTCATCAACACGGCTGGTACGATCTCACGTAGTGTGCAGATCTCGTGAAGAGCTTACTATAGAAATGATCCTATGAAGTAAGGTCTTAACACGTACATCCACGACGATCGGGCGTCATGGTCATCACAGAAATCTCGTTACCGCGTTGTACACGACCAAGCGACGTTTGCGGAGCGCCATCTAGTGACGCGTTCCATTTTATCATTTAACACCGTGTCCTATTTTCTTTTCGCCTGTGAGAAAAACGTCCATGTCATTGCTGCAGATTTGCTTTTGTCAAAATAAAACTGCCTTATTTAAACGTTCATATCTATGTACAATGTATATAGGTATATACATATGTACGCTAGTCGCTCAGCAGACTAGTAAATATACATATAGAAAGAAAGGTAGACACCTGGCCTTCGATAACTCTCACTATTTGTTTCCTGAAAAGGAAAAAGTAAAACACCTCAGATACTTTAGGTCAATTCTCTGTCAGCGAGTCGCATACTACCATATCGGTTATCAGAACGACGACCTAAACCATGAAATATGTAGCCATGTAATGTAAGAGCTCTAACAGAGGACCTAAAAACATGAAGTGAAGATGACATGTATTGTTTTGGAATTTGGGGTGGAGACATACTTATATGGAAGACTGTCAAAACGGACAGATGCGGTGACGGATGAAGGCCACTTTTATTCTATTGCTGGCACAGATGCTTATAGCCCATAAAACACAATCAAGCCTTTCGAGTCCCAGAATACTAAGGCCATGGTCAACGCGTTATTTGCTGATAAAATCTACTCAGCCGATTTCTTATCGCTAGTTTTGTTTCTAGATTGACTGTTATGTTTCGTCAATGACGACAAAACAAATTCAAATAAAAAAAAGATTCTCACCCTCATTAGCTTATTTGTAACTCTTATAATGTGTCTAGGTACTATTGTTTTTGTCCAGATTTTAGGATCTAACAAGAGGAGTATTGTTCTTTGATTCGTCTCTAATACCTGGTCTTAGCAGATTTGATTTATTATTTTTGTAATACTTACAAACGTATCTGAATACGTTGCCTTACAAAGACCGTAGTCACGTTTTATTCTTCTTTTTTTAATTATTTTAATATAATATAATAAAAATAAAGTAAAACTAACAGGAATAAAAAGAAAACACAATTTACTCAAGCAAGTTCATTATATCGAACACAGAAATAGAGATGGACAGGGCACATGTTAAGGGAGCATCAAGAGAAATGGACGAAAATTGTAACAGAGTGGTACCCGAGAGATGGAAAAAGAAATAAGGGACGACCAGCTGAAAGATGGGAAGACGACTTTAAAAAAGTGGCCGGTCCATTATGGATCCGGGTAGCTAAGGATAGAGAAAAGTGGAAGTCTTTAGAGGAGGCCTATGTCGAAAGACAAGCTGGTTTGAAAACAAACGTCAAAGGCATTTAATTATAAGTAATTTAAGATTAAGTAGATTAAGAAATATTATAAAATGTCGTTATTTAGTAGAAGTAGTTTTTGCAAGTTAAAACAAAAATAAAGGCTAATTTTATTTTAATTTATTTTATAAATAAAAAATCGCACAGCTACGTGCAATCAACCGTATCACATGAAATTGAAAAATTGAAATAAACATAAGAATATTGCAATACATTCAGTTGACAGTTTAATGTGTAGCAGTCGCCAACGTCCATACCACGTTGAATACACCGGTTCTCGTCCGATCACCGAAGTTAAGCAACGTCGGGCGCGGTCAGTACTTGGATGGGTGACCGCCTGGGAACACCGCGTGATGTTGGCTTTTTGTTTCAAACATTCATTTTTTAGTTCAACATTTATTCATAATTTCGTTGAACTCATTAATATGACAAATAATACATTGATTATTAATTTAAGTTATTAATCTGAATGATTAATGAACACGATCAGAACAATTTTTTTCAATACAAACTAAATTTATAAAAGGCATAAAATAAATATAAATAAATACGTGTAAACCTTATAGAATTTAATGATAAGCTGTAATAAAAATATTATTTGTTAGTAATTAGAAAATATGTAGTTATTTCAAGCATATAATTGTACATATAAAAAGTTCATACACTCTTGACTTTTAGTAGATAGATTTGCATATTTATATTATTTTTAATATTATTCTGATAGATATGTGTTACTTTCCAGAGGTCAAATAATTATCACAGTTAACTTACAGGAGTTTATTTAATTATTTTTGTTATCTTTGCTTTAATTATTACTTTATACCGGGTACTGATTTAGAAAATTCACCATTTATACAAATTGTAATTTAAAAGTTCCATTCTTGTCTTGAAAGTTATAAAGTATACATACATCCATGTTTATGTTTACAGAAATAAAGAAACCTTCTGTAAACCTTCTGACTGATCGGACGAGAACCGGTGTATTCAACGTGGTATGGACGTTGGCGACTGCTATACATTAAATTGTCAACTGAATGTGTCGCAATATTTTTAATCTTGTGTTTTTGTGTTTATTTCAATCATTCAATTTCATGTGATACGATTGATTGCACGTAGCTGTGCGAGACGGACGGATTTTTTATTAAATGAAATTGAAATAAAGAAAAATAACAACTATGGTCTTTGTAGAGCAACGGTTGATCCGTATGTAAGTATTACAAAGATAATAAACCAAATCTGCTACCACCAGGTATTGAAGTCGGATCGAAGAACAATACTCCTCTCGTTAGATACTAAGGCCTCGGCCTCGAATTTTGCGGGCAGCGGAGCGGCAGCGGCGGCGGCACGGAAACGCATACTATTCTCCAAACTAGCGGGCAGCGGGCACCGCTGTATTCGAGGGTCGGTCCATTTGATTATACGCGTAAGATCTTGCCGTCGCCGCCGCCGCTCCGCTGCCCGCAAAATTCGAGGCCGAGGCCTAAAATATGGGCAAAATAATAGTACCTACACATTATAAGAGTCGCTTCATACTAGTTAACCTTGAGGATACAGAGACATTTCCCATTCGATAAATTAATTTGTCAATGAATCCGCCGCATCTTCACGGAATTCCGTTCTGTCATATCGTATCAAAAAAATATATGTAATATTTCAAAAAACTCGATTTATTCAAGCCAGTTAACAATGTGTGTTCCTACAAGGTTGAGAGTTCTCTCGGTGGCTTCCGGTCGAACTAATAGTTATTGGCTATTCACGAAAACATTTTGAGTTCTTCTGGAATGTGATTAGGGTGAGTAGCTACTTTTTTTTTGGAGATTGTTTTGACTTCATCGACGAAGCGTAGCAGTATGGGCAAGCCCCATACTAGGACGTCTCAAAACCCTTTCACATGAAAGTCATTGTTATGGAGTAAAACTAATTAATTATTTTAGTTTAATTAATAATAATCTTTCTTTTCTATATTTTTTAAATTATTTATTGCAAGCCATAATGTAGGTATATAAACGGGGCATCAAAGCTAAATCATGTTAAATGATGTGATTTTCGCACAAATACTCAAAATTATTATTTTATATATTAAGCCTTATACTTTCACGTATATGTGTGCAAAATTATAGATCATTTAGTTTTGAAATAACTGAGATACGGAGTTCTGAGAAAAAACATACACGATTTACCTATAGTGAAACAAAACTAGTGATTAGAAATGGGCTGAGTAGATTTTTCATCAAATAACGTGACGATCATGGCTTCAGTATTCTAGGACTATAAGGGCGTCATTGTGTTTTATGGGCTATACCTAAGCATGTCCCTGGGCTTCATCCGTCACCGCATCTGCCCGTTTTGACAGTCTTCCATATAAGTATGTCTCCAACCCTAATTCCAAAACAATACATGTCATCTTCACTTCATGTTTTTAGGTCCTCTGTTAGAGCTCTTACATTACATGGGTACATGTTTCATGGTTCAGGTCGTCGTTCTGATAACCGATATGGTAGTATACAACTCGCTGACAGAGAATTGGCCTAAATTAACTATCCAAGTTGTTTTACTTTTTCCTTTTCAGGAAACAAATAGTGAGAGTTATCGAAGGCCGGGTCTCCCTTTCTTTCTATATATTTACTAGTCTGCTGGGTGACTAGCGTTCATACATATGTATGTATGTACATAGATGTGAATGTTTAAATAAGGCACTTTTATTTTGACAAAAGCAAATCTGCAGCAATGACATGGACGTTTTTCTCACAGGCGAAACGAAAATAGGATACGGTCTTAAATGATAATACGGAACGCGTCACTAGATGGCGCTCCGCAAACGTCGCTTGGTCGTGTACAACGCGGTAACGAGATTTCTGTGATGACCATGACCCCCGATCGTCGTGGATGTATGTGTTAAGACCTTACTTCATAGGATCATTTCTATAGTAAGCTCTTCACGAGATCTACACACTACGTGAGATCGTACCAGCCGTGTTGATGAGACGTGGCGCGGCGTCCTGAGCGTGAGGCGGACGACGGCTTCCGGCCGCCAGTCCTCGATGATCGTTCACCTCTCTCACCAGTGGGAGAGGCGTGGGGCGCTGTCGCTGGCTGAGCGGCCTTTTTAAACAACTATTATCTATCCATATTATAACTGTCCATATCGGCAAAACACTAAAATACATAGGTTTAGTATTGACGTCAGTAAACGTGTAATGAGCATTGAGCATCACCAACTAGAAGTGATCCGTTGCGTTCATCGGTTTTGTAATCTGAAAATGTATTATAGCTGATATCAATCTAAACACTGAGCGTGGTTGTTTGATATGTTATAAGGGTTTCAGAAATCGTTAGCAGGATATGAAAGAATTCTTCAAACTTTACTATTGAAAGGTTACCATTAAATCGTACAACAGAAGTGCTAATATCACGTGTTCTTTTTCTATTAAATTAATCCTTATTGCTTATTCTATGGAGGTGTCCGATGCTCTTTCTTACATTGAGCAGAACCGGTGGAAATGATCACAGAAGGAAACATGTAGTGATCTTCACAAGCGTGGCTAAGAGTAGTAAATGGCTTCTTATTTCGAACAGAGTGATATATTGTAATGTTTTTAATTACAAAGCTCAATATTGTGATTAGAATCTTTCCGTTATTATAATTCTTTTTAGATAATGTTGAAGTCGTAAGGTGAGTTAATATTAATTTATTTTCACAAACAAATTACTCAGAGTATTTCAATTTAAAAATAACATTAACTTTTCTAACGCTGAACATACACATATACGTGCCATGACCGAAATGTTGAAAATTTCCTTTACCTACTTTAAATACAGATACTGACCATTTTTTCATATAAATAAAATATGCTTGATAATACAAACCTGTGGGTTTGTTTATAGGTCATCCTATAAATAACCACTTCCCCCCCCCCCTAAAGTATAAAAACATTTAAGTTAATGTAACTTTGTCGCAATAGGAAAGTAAATTAGAGGGCGTTATATACATATTGAAATCCACGATATTTGCTATCTGTATTTGAAAAACCAGTACGGCAATACAAAAAATTAACTGGATGTCATAAATAGAATAAAAATAATGCGTGCAATCCCTTCTCGTGTAATACATGAAACTTCGGCAATTTCGAAAGAATATATTTCAGTTAATTTCATGACGCTCACACTGTTTACTTCTCTGCATAATAAGAATACCAAACTTGAATGTGCTTGGAAATTACCAACTCATTCTTTTTCTCTTTCCTACTCTCTATATTATATCTTTCTTTCTCACTCAGCGTAAAACGTTTCACGCAACCTTTTTGGAATTGGCATAAGAAGTTTCACATTAAAATAATTGCCGCTCTCTTCCTTCAGGTGAGTTATTTGTCCCTTGTTACTATTTTGACTAGCTATGTATTTAAGATATTAAAGTTTCAGATTAAAACGGACTAAACTAAATCATTAGGACGTGCGCGGTCTACTGAATATGAATCCATTTTTTTTTTAATATTTCAATCTGTCGTTTGCAAATATCAACAATTTATTACAGTTAACAAGCGAGTTTCCCTTGATTTGAAATTAATTTTTATTTAAATTACTACGAAATGAGATGCCTAATTTGGTATATATCGTTTGACTTATAACGCAAAAATATATGACAATATTTTATAATAAATATTGTAGAATTATTCCAGTTGGCTTTGAAGCGGTTTATGAACTGTTAGGAATCGAAAAAACGTCGTAATATTGTAGTAAAACATCCAAATGAGTCACGCTTATCAATATCCGGTAAGTATAAAAGAAGATCTCAAATACCAGCTTATTAAGCAGTTTTCATAAAGAAAAAATTGACAGTTATGTTTTATTGACGTTTGTTGACATTGACAGTTGACTAAACTTATGACAGTTCAGAAATATGTGCATTTTCTGTTTTATATAAATTATATTATTTCAGTATTTGATTAATATTCAATTGTATTAAGAGTATTATAGACTAGGACATAACTTATTAAAGTATGATGTTATAAATTAAATAAAAAATAAAAATAATATAGTTCAATTTTAAATTGGATCTTTTAATATCTTTGTATTTAAAAAAAAATAAGATAGGATTATATTATACGATTCAATTGAAAAATTCTTTTCAGGAATTAGAATTATTCATTCAAAACATTATGACTCTGAAAAAATGTTTCAATTAGATTATGAATATGCAAAATATGTGTGGTTCTTCTTCTATAAGAGCACATCAAAAATAAATTTAAAAAAATCGTTCTCCATGTTCTACTACCTTCCATATCTATATTTAATGATTTCTCATATAAAATTTCATTATAATGGTTATTGACCTTATTTTAACACAGAAAAAGACTATCTAATTGAAAACTTTATTTTATGGATCCCGTTCATCGTATCTCTACATATATAAATACATTTTGTATCTTTTTATGACGTCATCATAATATTGATAGTTGTGAAGTCTTCAAACTGTTTTGTTTGACATTTATACTTTTTTTGGTCTTAAATTAGCTCACTGTGAGTAATTAATTAATGTATAGTATTATGAAATTGAAATGTAATTGAAAACCTTAATATTTATGATTATACGGCTTGTAAATATCGTATTAAATTAATTTAAAAAGGAGTTTAAGATTTTTATTTATATTTCCTCTATTCAGGTTTTGACAAATTTTCTTAATGTACTTTAATAGGTTAATATATGTTTAGACTTTTGATCACATAAAAAATGTGTATGTTGTATATTTGTACTGGCAATATGTCTTGAGAAATAATATTAAGCTAGTTTTCATACCAGCGCCATCTATTATTAAGTAATTTTAGTATTGCTTTGCCGGTGACGTAGTACAATTATTAATTTCCTAGAAACAGGTAAAATAGTTTTCTGAAAATGAATTCTAATCAGATTAATAATTCGCATCCTTAACTTTCGTTAAAAGTTATATAGATTGATTACAGGTATTTCCCACAGTGTGTTAATGTTCAAACAAAAATTCATTTTTTAATTTTAATACAACGTGTCTTTCAAGTTTATATTTGTAATATGAACTAAAGAAAAAGGTGAATGCACGAAATGCGTTGAAATTATTCTTAGAGATGTCCTGGATCTCATTCTATTTTTTTGATGCTTCAAACCGTTTTAAATAAGAAGTATTTTAGGACCTGATTTGCCTTGTCTTTTTCTTCATGAATTCTCTACCAGAAAAGACTACTATATATAAAATAGAAGTAACATATGTAACTTGTTTATTTTTTAATGGAATTAGAATTTTTATCATCTGTCAGAGTTATTATGCAATGTGGGTCCATATACTTAATGGTAAAAATTATTATCTACGCCGTCTAGAAAAAGTTATGTATTTTTTTTATAGTTAATATTTTTATAATTATGAACAATATCAGATTTACTTAACACGAGTAGCAATGGTTATAGTAATTCCAAAAAAGCTCTTTTATTATTCAAAACTCTCATAGGATGCCAACGATATTACTTTTTATTGTCTTTTGTTGAGATTTAGTCTTTTTAATTTACTTAATTCAATAAACTTAAAACTTTGCACAGAGAAATTAGAACACTGAATTTTTAAGCTGATTGTATTAATATATTAAACTTGTAGCAGATCAATGAATACAAAGTAATTAAATGCGTATATTTAATTTAACAAACTTCTTTATTATGCTGACTTATTGAACTATATATAATATTGGTATGAAATATGCGGCTAAAAAGACATCTGAATATTATATTAAAACATCAAAGACATTTTTTGTTTTTTGGTTATGTTCGTTCCGTTCAGAACAGGCAAAGAGAACAAAGTCCATACAGCCATGTCTTTTGTATTTTGTATCTTTAATTATTTTTAAATGTCTTAATCTCCTTTTTTATTCTTGACTCAAGTTTTTATATCAGGCCTAAGCCATGTCTTCTTTTAATTTTCTTCTTGAAAGATTTTTTTAATTTTAAGGGCGAAGCCATGTCTTTATTTAAAATATTTTTTTTTGTCAAATTCTTGGTTTTTTTTACATTCCGTCTTTTTTCAATGTCAAGTCCTTGTAATGTCATTTTTAGTACAATAATTAATTTGTCAAAATCGATAAACAGTCAAATTCTGAAAATAGCTGAAATAGCTAAAAGCAAATATCTTAAAGAAAACGAACAAATTAGTATTATATACATATGTACAAATAACAATTAGATTTCATTTATAGTAGAAACAATAAAGCCATAAACTGGCAAGAAGCATTCTTGAATGCTTAGTATTTGCTGAAGGGAGCGCGGGATATCTTCAGCAGTTTTAAAAATACTTAAAAGTTGGTCTACAAGGACCATCCTTTGAATACTAAACTGTGGACAATCAAAAAATATATGTTCGAGGGTTTCATCAGCATTATTGCAATATCTACAAGTTGAAAAGTCAAAAACACCAATCCTAAAAAGGTGAGCACCAAAACTACAATGTCAAAGACGCAAACGACAGATTGTGGTATAATACTTTCTATGGTTATAGTCACTACCCCGGGTAAACCAGGGAGAAGAGACCTTTTTCTTTATTGAAGCTAACCATTTGCCTTTTACCTTTACCACCTGAGGCCATAAGTTGTAAAATTCTTTCTGTAACTCGAGTTTGAAGAGGGATAGAGCGTCTGAATAAGGAATTGGGAAATTTAAAAAGCTATGACTTAATTGATTGTGGGCTGGATTTGTAATAAATTTAGCTAAATAGTCTGCTTGCTCATTACCATGCACACAGATGTGGGCTGTCCAGAATAGGACTATTTGCTTGTTTTGAGACAATAGGTGATACAACTCTCTTATTTTATATATAATATAGTTAGTTTTTGAATTTAATTGTGGATTTTGTAATGCCGTTAATAAACCTAAACTATCCGCTATTATAATCCACTTTGGATGAATCTGTGTTTGAATGTGCTCCATAGCTGTATACACAGCTATGGATTCGGCGGAGTATATGCTTGTGAGTGGATTCAGCCCATGACCGAATCCACTTTTGATCTGACTATCATACACAGCTATAGAGACTGCTTCATTGTTCCTAGACCCATCTGTATATATCTGATGATATCCCTGCCACCTATCAAGTTCCCTATAAATGTCTTCCTTATACTTTAGAAGACTTTTGACTACAATTTTAATCTGAATAAATTTTGATTCATATAACCCAGAGTAACAAGGCCATACCATACTAGAAAATATATCATGTTTATTAAAAATTTGTTCTGTTTCAGGAAAACCTTGACACAAATATGAATTAATATTGGCAGTCCTGTTAATAGTGTCCTGCAGTTTAACAAGAAGTGGATGATTACTGACGGAGAGCAACCTTGCAAAAATTTTTGATTGTAAGTATTTAAACCTAAGTGCTAATGGAGGTATATTACATTCCACCTGCATTGACACTATGGGAATAGTTCGCATGGCACCCATTATAAAATGCAAACATTTATTTTGTATCTTTTCTAATTTATCTACTATAGTTCTTACCCCTGCAAAACAAAAAAAGGCATATTCAAAATGACTCCTTACTAATGATTTATACAATGTTAATAGAATCCTTGGATCAGCATCCCAATATGTGCTTGTTAAAGATTTTAAAACATTACAAGCATTTAAAGCTCGAGATTCTAGAGTTTCAGCATACTTATTCCATCTAAAATTGTTTGTAATAATAACACCTAAAAACTTTACAGAGCTCTCTACAGACATTACATTATTATTGAACAAAATATTTACATTCCTATTTCTAATTCCATTTTTTGAAAGGACAACAACTTTACTTTTTTCATTGCTGACCTCCAGCCCAAGGCTATCAAAATAGTTCTTTAGTCTTTGGAGAGCAACATTGAGGACTGATTGTACACGTAAAAAATTAGTATCAGAGCAATAAACAACTAAATCATCTGCAAACTGCAGATTAGAAACTTCAGATTAGAAACTTTAACCCAGAGTTAAATTTAGCTGATGTATGAATAGGATAAAAAGCAATGGGCTCAATACACCACTCTGTGATACACCCCTACAAGAATATCTTGGACCAAATAACTGATTGTTGACCATAACAAACACCTTTCTGTAGTTCAAAAAATTAAAAATCCAAATTACAACTTTTCCAGGTACCCGCAGTAATAATAATACTGAGGATAATTTGTTCAGATGTACATTATTGAAAGCCCCTACAATGTCAAGAAAAACACCAACTAGTACTTTATTCTCGGAACGAGCATCGTGGATATCCAGACAGAAATGACGTAGACTCTCACAAGCAGAACGGCCACAACGAAAGAAAAACTGATTGTAAAGTAAACGATTATTACTTTCTATGTGAAAAATTAATCTCTGTTTTATTAATTTTTCGAAAAATTTTCCAACACATGAACTCAGTGTAATAGAATGATAAGAATCAGCCAAATTAAAGTCTTTGCCAGGTTTTAATATTGGTACCAAACAGTCAGTTTTCCAATCCTCTGGGATAATAGAAGATGACCATAAACTATTTAATAAACTTAAAAAAATAGATAGAGTTGGAACATTTAAAAGTTTAAACATTTTGTAGGAAAGCCAATCCAGGCCACATGAAGAATCTTTTCTTGAGGCTAAAGCAGATTTTAACTCCTGCATAGTAAAACAACCGATCATGTATGAATTATCACTATTTACTCCAAGAACATTATAGATACTTATCTGTTGTGAAACAGTATCCGGTGTGTATTTATATAAAAATGTTTGAACCCAATTGAGGTCAGAAAACAAGTTAGAACTCGGAAAGCTTTTTTTTGAATTTCTTATTTTAGTCCAAATGCGATTTATAGATGTCAAACGATTTATTGATGAGCAGAATTCTGACCAACTTTTACAACGTTCTTCTTTTAAAGTGCGTTTTTTAAAGGCTTGTGCGCGTTTGAAATTAATGTAATTTTTACTATTAAGTCTAGTTTTGAAATTAATGTAGGCGTTCTTGCAGTCTTCTACTACTTTTGAACATTTATCATTCCACCAAGGTACTTGACACCTTTTTCTAGGACGGCTATTATTATTATCAGTTGTGTTATAGTTTAAGCTCGGCCCGGAGAATTTGATTGCCAATAGAATAATTTAACAAAACTTTCTGTATGAGTCAAGGAGATCACTATTGTCAACTTTAAAGTTCATTAACATTTTATTAACAATTTATTCATAACTTTCCCAATTTACTAATTTCAGATTGCTGTGAAAAGAAATGTTGTTCAAGGAAATAACTGCCTAAAGGGTCCTGATGAACTTGCCAGTCACAAGAAAGAAATAAAGAAGAAGACAAGATAGTTAAATCTAGACTGTTTGGTTTCCAAATATTATAGTTGTTGGTTGACCATTATTTAAAAGTCTTAAGTCATGGTCATCCATGGAATCCATAATAGCTCTGCCCCGAGAATCTATGCGACTACAACCCTAAAAAGTATGATGGGCGTTAAAATCGCCTGCAATTAATTATCAACGGTTTTGGAATACTGTACAATTAACGATCGAACTTCGCCTTTTCAAAAGCAGAAAAACTATTAACAGGACTGTAAAAACTAACCAAAGAAATGCATTTATGTTTCAGTTTAATAACAATTACTACATTTTGTAACGAATCATCATAAAAAGTATCTAGTTTAGAGAAATGTATACCATTTTTAATTAATATTGCTACGCCATTATGATCATTACCGCAGTCATTCCTAATAATGGTATAACCACGTAAATTAAATTGAATGCTAGGCTTGAGCCAAGTTTCTGAAATAAGAGCTACATGTATATTATTTTGGTATAGAAAATGTTAAAAACTCAAGTCTGTTACTTAACAGACTTTGAGCTTTCCACTGTACAATATTTAAGATTTGGTGGTTGAATGTGACGATTTGTTATTTTTGTCCTGGATGGTTTCTTTAAAAGATGAGCTAATAAATTGTGAACTAATACTTATATTTAGAGTTTTATTTAAATTTATAACTTTTACTATAGATTCTGTTAATAGAGTCATTGCTTCGGAATTTGATAGTATTGCTTGGATTACTTCTTGGGTATTTAATTTTTTATTAAGGGAGGGAAAATTTAATGAATCTTTTAACGTGTCAGCATATGACATGGGTTTACTGTTTGCAATTTTCTTTTGCTTCATAGGGCACTGGCTAGAGATGGCAATGTGATTGCCATTACAATAAAGCACTTAGCTTACCTTGCATAATGCATTCTTTGAAAGAATGTGCCCCTCTGTGCATATGGAGCATCGCGGTGAATTTTTACAAAACTTAGCCAGATGATCATAGCGTAAACATTTAAAACACTGTTTTATAGGTGGGACATATGTGGAGACAGGCAGGCGCCACATCTTAATGTGAACATAGTCCTGCAGTGACGTAGCAGACGCAAAAGTTATTACTGCGCTCTGAGTAGGTTGCAGTGTGAAGGTGTTATTTTCTCCTTTTACTTTACGCATTATGCGTCGGACAGAAATGACTTTTTCTGTTGTTGATATTGCTTTATATATTTTGTGATTGGATAGATGAGTGGGAACCGAAGAGATTTCTCCCGATAGTTCGGTAGGCCCCACTGATATTGAAGCTTTAAGTCGTTGTTCCTTTAGACATGTAGTATTTTCTAAAAAAGCATTGGCCAAATTCGCACGTTGAAAAACAACACCGACCTTATATTTATTTATATTTTTTAAATATTGTATACTATAATATGTATTCTTTTTACGTTTTTTCACCATCTCTCCACATAAACACTTATATACAGACTAAGTTTTACTTCTTTACAATAAACTAAACAAAAATTTGCAAATTATAGTATAAAACTATTTAAAATAATTAAAATTTTCAAAAAGCCCGCGTCAACGTTTCAATTCCCTCGCTCTTTCCTTCTTAAGACCCCGCCCAGAGACACTAGCGACAGGCCTGATGCTAGACAGGTCGCTTCTTGCAGGGGCTGGGGATATTATAGAAATTATTATTATTATATTATTAAGAGACAGAATAATTATAACACAGAGTCGATAACAATATAGTGTAATTAAAACACAGAGGTTTTGAGCTATATAGAGTAATTATAAGTTGACTTCGCAGCCAGGGTGTTAAGAGTTTCGGCTAGGTGCGCAATGGCAACCGTGATTTTTTAGAATCTTTATATAAATTACTATCATGTATAGGTTGTTTTATCTAAATAATTGATAAACGGAACATTTTCCAAAAATTAAATAAAAATAATGGCGGCCAAATTTTGATAGGCAACCAAGTAAATATATGTTCTCCTAACTACATATAAATAAACATAAAAATTTGGTTTTAAACAAATAACCGATGAACGCACCGCAGGATTGGTGGAATCTTAGATTTATATTAAATTGTATTTTTGTTTAAACAGTGTTTTTTATAAATTAGTACCAAGTATAGAATATTAATTATTATAGCAATGATAACAAAATAAAAAGATAAACTTTTGTAAGTTAACAGTGATAATAATTTGACTGCTGGATAGAAATACATAAATCTATCTGCTAATAGTCAAGAGATTATGAACTTTTTGTATGTACAATAATCTACTTATAATAACTATTTTCTAATTATTAACAAATAATATTTTTATTACAACTTATCATTAAATTGTATAAGGTTTACTTATTTATATTTATTTCATGCCTGTTATAAATGTAGTTTCTATTGAAAAAATTGTCTCTGTCGTGTTCATTGAACCTTCAGATTTAGAACTTAAATAAATAATCAATATATTATCTATCACTTTAGTAAGTTCAACGAAATTATGAAAAAATGTTGAAATAAAAACGAACGTTTAAAACAGTGGAAACAAAAAGCCAACATCACGCGGTGTTCCCAGGCGGTCACCCATCCAAGTACTGACCGCGCCCGACGTTGCTTAACTTCGGTGATCGGACGAGAACCGGTGTATTCAACGTGGTATGGACGTTGGCGACATAATGTTAATAAATTGTTTACTAATGGTGTTGCAATATTCTTTATCTGATGTTTATTTCAATTTTTCAATTTCATGTGATACGATTGATTGCACGTAGCTGTGCGAGACGGATGGATTATTAAATGAAATTAAAATTAAGAAAAACAACATGATTATGGTCTTTGTAGAGCAACGGTTGATACGTATGTAGGTATTACAAAGATAATATACCAAATCTGCTAAGACCAGGTAGGGAAGACGGATCGAAGAACAAGACTCCCGTCAGATACTAAAATATGGTTGTTCTGGCGGGTTGAGAGTTCTCTGGGCAGCTTCCAGACGAACTTAAAGTTATTGGCTATTTCACGCAAATTAGTTTTTTGAGCTCTTTAGAACAAGCTGATTAGCTTCTTTTTTTTTAATTTGACTTTGTTTTTCCATCATTGACGAAACATTACAATCACTCCGGAAACAAAACTAGCGATTAGAAATTCAGTGAGTAGATTCAGTATTCTATGACTAGAAGGGCGTGATTGTGTTTTATGGGTTATTAACATCTGTGCCTTCAATGGAATGAAAGTCATGTCCATGGCCTTCATCCGTCACCGCATGTGCCCGTCTTGACAGTCTTCCATATGTGTCTCCATCCTAAATTCCAAAACAATACATGTCATCTTCACTTCATGTTTTTAGGTCCTCTGTTAGAGCTCTTTGATTAAATAGGTTCATTTTTCATGGTTCAGGTCATCGTTCTGATAACCGATATGGTAGTATGCGACTCGCTGACAGAGAATTGACCTAAATTAACTATCTAAGTTGTTTTACTTTTTTCTTTTCAGGAAACAAATAATGAGAGTTATCGAAGGCAAGGTCTCCCTTTCTTTATATGTATATATTTACGAGTCTGGTGGACGTCTAGCGTACATACATATGTATGTACATAGATGTGAACATTTAAATAAGGCAGTTTTATTTTGACAAGAGCAAATCTGCGGCAATGACACGGACGTTTTTCTCACAGGCGAAACGAAAATAGGATACGGTGTTAAATGATAATATGGAACGAGTCACTAGATGGCGCTCCGCAAACGTCGCTTGGTCGTGTACAACGCGGTAACGAGATTTCTGTGATGACCATGACCCCCGATCGTCGTGGATGTATGTGTTAAGACCTTACTTCATAGGATCATTTCTATAGTAAGCTCTTCACGAGATCTACACACTACGTGAGATCGTACCAGCCGTGTTGATGAGACGTGGCGCGGCGTCCTGAGCGTGAGGCGGACGACGGCTTCCGGCCGCCAGTCCTCGATGATCGTTCACCTCTCTCACCAGTGGGAGAGGCGTGGGACGCTGTCGCTGTCTGAGCGGTTTTTATACACAACTTTACACTTATCCATATAATAAGTAGTCAATAATAGCTCATTATTAATTCCAAATTTTGTAATGACATAAGTAAACGTGTAATGAGCATTGAGCAGCACTAAGTAGAAGTGAACAATTGCGTTTATCGGTTTTGAGATCTGAAAATGTATTATAGCTGATATCAATCTAAACACTGAGCGTAGTTGTTTGATATGTTATAAGGGTTTCAGAAATCGTTTGCAGGATATGGAAGAATTCTCAAAACTTTACTATTGAAAGATGGTTACCATTAAATTGTACAACAAAAGTGCTAATGTCACGTGTTCTTTTTCTATTAAATTAATCTTTATTGCTTATTCTATGGAGGTGTCCGACGCTCTTTCTTACATTGAGCAGAACCGATAGAAATGATCACAGAAGGAAACATACAGTTATCATCACAAGCGTGGCTAAGAGTAGTAAATGGCTTCTTATTTCGAACAGAGTGATATATTGTAATGATTTTAATTACAAAGCTCAATATTGTGATTAGAATCTTTCCGTTATTATAATTCTTTTTAGATAATGTTGAAGTCATAAGGTGAGTTAATATTAATTTATTTTCACAAACAAATTACTCAGAGTATTTCAATTTAAAAATAACATTAACTTTTCTAACGCTGAACATACACATATACGTGCCATGAACGAAATGTTGAAAATTTTCTTTACCTACTTTAAATACAGATACTGACCAACTTTTCATATAAATAAAATATGCTTGATAATACAAATCTGTGGGTTTGTTTATAGCTCATCCTATAAATAACCACTTTCCCCCCCTAAAGTATAAAAACATTTAAGTTAATGTAACTTTGTCGCAATAGGAAAGTCAATTAGAGGGCGTTATATATATATTGAAATCCACGATATTTGCTATCTGTATTTGAAAAACCAGTACGGCAATACAAAAAATTAACTGGATGTCATAAATCGAATAAAAATAATGCGTGCAGTCCCTCCTCGTGTAAAACGTGAAACTTCGGCAATTTCGAAATAATATATTTCAGTTAATTTCACGACGCTCACACTGTTTACTTCTCTGCATAATAAGAATACCAAACTTGAATGTGCTTGGAAATTACCAACTCATTCTTTTTCTCTTTCCTACTCTCTATATTATATCTTTCTTTCTCACTCAGCGTAAAACGTTTCACGCAACCTTTTTGGAATTGGCATAAGAAGTTTCACATTAAAATAATTGCCGCTCTCTTCCTTCAGGTGAGTTATTTGTCCCTTGTTACTATTTTGACTAGCTATGTATTTAAGATATTAAAGTTTCAGATTAAAACGGACTAAACTAAATCATTAGGACGTGCGCGGTCTACTGAATATGAATCCATTTTTTTTTAATATTTCAATCTGTCGTTTGCAAATATCAACAATTTATTACAGTTAACAAGTGAGTTTCCCTTGATTTGAAATTAATTTTTATTTAAATTACTACGAAATGAGATGCCTAATTTGGTATATATCGTTTGAATTATAACGCAAAAATATATGACAATATTTTATAATAAATATTGTAGAATTATTCCAGTTGGCTTTGAAGCGGTTTATGAACTGTTAGGAATCGAAAAAACGTCGTAATATTGTAGTAAAACATCCAAATGAGTCACGCTTATCAATATCCGGTAAGTATAAAAGAAGATCTCAAATACCAGCTTATTAAGCAGTTTTCATAAAGAAAAAATTGACAGTTATGTTTTATTGACGTTTGTTGACATTGACAGTTGACTAAACTTATGACAGTTCAGAAATATGTGCATTTTCTGTTTTATATAAATTATATTATTTCAGTATTTGATTAATATTCAATTGTATTAAGAGTATTATAGACTAGGACATAACTTATTAAAGTATGATGTTATAAATTAAATAAAAAATAAAAATAATATAGTTCAATTTTAAATTGGATCTTGCTCTACTTAATGCTTTAATATCTTTGTATTTAAAAAAAAATAAGATAGGATTATATTATTATTATTATTATTATTATTTATTAATGTACCAAACATAAAAAAATAGTTACATTAGAGTATTATAAAAGAAATGTCATGTACAAAGGATAACTTATCTCTTAAAAGAGATCTCTACCAGAAACCCTTTTGATAGAGGAAATGAGAAGAGAAATGTGGAATAGGTACAATAAAATGAGAGATGGAAAAAAGAAAAAAAGAGGTATATAGATATATGTAAGAATACAAACCAAATTATAATAGTATAAAATACAGATATTATACATACATAGATATATACATAAATATATACAAATAAATACAATATATATGACGGAGTATGCACAATACGTTGTGTAAAGTGCCTTATTTTGGGAAAACTAGTTGATATTTTGGTTTCATTTCTTTCATGTTTGTATTTAAATGTTTTCGTTTATTTGAGTGATTATATTTGGTTGATAAAGGTTATGAGTTTGAAGAGAAGATACTCAATTCATTTTACAATACATTAAGGATATGTCGTTTGAACTATCTAATTTTGTGAAAGCTGTTTGTTCGTTTGATTAAGATTATTTTAAGTTTATATTTAAGTGTATTCCTTATTTCTTTTAATTTGTTTGATTGTTTTTAGTTGATTAATATTATGAATGTAATTTAAAAAGTAACTCAATTTATTATAAAGAGCCGACGCTAACGTCAGTTAGATTGTCGAGTGGGGTTCCGAGGGGCGCCAACTTCATAGTAGTGAGCAAGCATATAAACTGCAGCAGTCACACTGCAAGGGTGGTGCTCATTTGGACGTAGTGTTGGACGCACCCTCGGAAATCCACGTGGCTCGATTTCATGTGTTAATCAAAAAGCAAGAAGTAAAGTAAAGTGAAGTGTAGTGACTTTAAAGTGTTGTGAAGTGTTTTGTGAAGTGTTAGTGGTTAGATAGCAAATAAGAGTGAATTACAAGACCCTAGTGGACTCGGCGATCCGACATCAGAAGTTGGGAGTCACCCAGATACGCACACTCGAAGTTGGAGTCCAATTCTCCAATCCGAACGCGACAAATGGAGGAAACTTTTTCATTTACAACATCGTTACATGCTTGATTTGGTAAACTATATGAGGGCGCCCAAAGATGATGCAACGAAGAGTACCGCCACAGAGGACTGCCATATGTTACCGATGTGGACAACCGGGGCACATAGCGCCTACGTGTCCAACTAAATCTGGGAAAACTGTTTAACAACCAGATCTGACCGAATGGCTGGTAGATATCTGCACCGTCAGTCCTGCTTCAGGAGACCATTATAATCTGGGTGAGAGATTTCCTTTTTATTTTGTTTATTTGATATTTGATTTGATTTTGATATCATAATACTGTCAGGTATAGGTAACAAAAGTTTGGTGTGTCACTTACACGTTTTGTAAGCCCTATTGATCCGAAACTACAACATTGAGTTATTGCTTCACGTTGTTCCTGATCAGTCACTTCCTAATAATATTTTAGTAAATAAAGTCGTGTTAATTACTCCACTTATAACTCAAGAACGGCTGAACCGATTTTACTGAAAATTGGCAGGGAGGTTGTTTAGAGCCAGGAAATTGCAATAGGATTTTACTGTTTATCCCTTTTGACAGCATTCCCGTGGGACTTGACATGAAACGTCAGTAACTACATATTAAACGTGGAATAACGAAACACAATTGACAGCTATGCAATTGACGTATAATGACAGATATGTAATGACGTTTTACATTCGCTGGAAAGGTCTCGGGCTCCGTGAGGTTTATAACAAAAAAAAAAAAAAAAAAATTAACAGAAAAGCGGGAAAATCTTTTTTTTCACATACAGCATAACATGTACTACAAATCAATATTTTAAGTAGATGGCGCCGGTTCATGATACATTGTTCGATAGCTAATCATTGTTCTTTGCTCAGTTAATTTCATGTGACAAACCGGTATTGTTTGTAGTTTGAACTCTTAAAACCATTCAGTATTTGCGGGATAAATTTAGAAAATCATTGTTTTTCACATGGACGTAATATTTTGCGTGTTCACGAGTTTGGAAACCATCCGCTTTATTTGTGTTAAAATTAGACCAAAAAAAAAAAAACGATAAATGTGGTTTACAAAGGACCACTTCAATGTAACGGATAATTTGCGGGTTTACTAGTTATTAATAACACTAAAGTCGTGCAATACTGTGAAGTCGGCAGAAATTCAAAGTATTTTGTTGAAGGTGTCCCCACAAGTAGAGTTACATCAGGCCAACTAGAAATAAAATTAATTAATCCAAATCTCACTGTTCAACGTCGTCTCTATAGATTGAACATAGATGAACGAATGGTTGTAAGAGAAAAATTTCGTGATCTCTTAAATGCCGCAGTCATATGTGAAAGCTATCCTCCTTTTTCTAGTCCTATGTGGTATACATCTTGTCAAGGATTCTGTGTGACCTTGGCAAAGATCTGAGTGATATATCTTGTCATGGATTCTGTGTGACCTTGGCAAAGATCTGTGTGATGTATCTGGCCATGGATTCTGTGTGACCTTGGCAAAGATCTGAGTGATGTATCTTGTCATGGATTCTGTGTGACCTTGGCAAAGATCTGTGTGATGTATCTGGCCATGGATTCTGTGTGACCTTGGCAAAGATCTAAGTGATGTATCTTGTCATGGATTCTGTGTGACCTTGGCAAAGATCTGTGTGATGTATCTTGCCATGGATTCTGTGTGACCTTGGCAAAGATCTGTGTGATGTATCTTGCCATGGATTCTGTGTGACCTTGGCAAAGATCTGTGTGATATATGGCAAAGATCTGTGTGATATAACTTGTCAAGGATCTGTGTGAACTTGACAAAGATCTGTGTGGATTATATATTATCGAACCCGTATGTAAAGTCTATGTTAAAATCTTTGTACTGTGATTTTGATTTTCATATAAAAGATAATTAGTTCGTGTAGAGTTAGATGAGATATAATGTTTACAGTCTAATTAATTTAATTAGTTCAGTCAGGATAGCCGAGCGTTAAAAAATACCAAAATTATTTGATTTTAGTTTCTGATGACACACACATAGACACACGAGGACGTGTGATATTGCAGGATGGCCGTGACGGAGTATGCACAATACGTTGTGTAAAGTGCCTTATTTTGGGAAAACTAGTTGATATTTTGGTTTCATTTCTTTCATGTTTGTATTTAAATGTTTTCGTTTATTTGAGTGATTATATTTGGTTGATAAAGGTTATGAGTTTGAAGAGAAGATACTCAATTCATTTTACAATACATTAAGGATATGTCGTTTGAACTATCTAATTTTGTGAAAGCTGTTTGTTCGTTTGATTAAGATTATTTTAAGTTTATATTTAAGTGTATTCCTTATTTCTTTTAATTTGTTTGATTGTTTTTAGTTGATTAATATTATGAATGTAATTTAAAAAGTAACTCAATTTATTATAAAGAGCCGACGCTAACGTCAGTTAGATTGTCGAGTGGGGTTCCGAGGGGCGCCAACTTCATAGTAGTGAGCAAGCATATAAACTGCAGCAGTCACACTGCAAGGGTGGTGCTCATTTGGACGTAGTGTTGGACGCACCCTCGGAAATCCACGTGGCTCGATTTCATGTGTTAATCAAAAAGCAAGAAGTAAAGTAAAGTGAAGTGTAGTGACTTTAAAGTGTTGTGAAGTGTTTTGTGAAGTGTTAGTGGTTAGATAGCAAATAAGAGTGAATTACAAGACCCTAGTGGACTCGGCGATCCGACATCAGAAGTTGGGAGTCACCCAGATACGCACACTCGAAGTTGGAGTCCAATTCTCCAATCCGAACGCGACAAATGGAGGAAACTTTTTCATTTACAACATCGTTACATGCTTGATTTGGTAAACTATATGAGGGCGCCCAAAGATGATGCAACGAAGAGTACCGCCACAGAGGACTGCCATATGTTACCGATGTGGACAACCGGGGCACATAGCGCCTACGTGTCCAACTAAATCTGGGAAAACTGTTTAACAACCAGATCTGACCGAATGGCTGGTAGATATCTGCACCGTCAGTCCTGCTTCAGGAGACCATTATAATCTGGGTGAGAGATTTCCTTTTTATTTTGTTTATTTGATATTTGATTTGATTTTGATATCATAATACTGTCAGGTATAGGTAACAAAAGTTTGGTGTGTCACTTACACGTTTTGTAAGCCCTATTGATCCGAAACTACAACATTGAGTTATTGCTTCACGTTGTTCCTGATCAGTCACTTCCTAATAATATTTTAGTAAATAAAGTCGTGTTAATTACTCCACTTATAACTCAAGAACGGCTGAACCGATTTTACTGAAAATTGGCAGGGAGGTTGTTTAGAGCCAGGAAATTGCAATAGGATTTTACTGTTTATCCCTTTTGACAGCATTCCCGTGGGACTTGACATGAAACGTCAGTAACTACATATTAAACGTGGAATAACGAAACACAATTGACAGCTATGCAATTGACGTATAATGACAGATATGTAATGACGTTTTACATTCGCTGGAAAGGTCTCGGGCTCCGTGAGGTTTATATAAAAAAAAAAAAAAAAAAAAATTAACAGAAAAGCGGGAAAATCTTTTTTTTCACATACAGCATAACATGTACTACAAATCAATATTTTAAGTAGATGGCGCCGGTTCATGATACATTGTTCGATAGCTAATCATTGTTCTTTGCTCAGTTAATTTCATGTGACAAACCGGTATTGTTTGTAGTTTGAACTCTTAAAACCATTCAGTATTTGCGGGATAAATTTAGAAAATCATTGTTTTTCACATGGACGTAATATTTTGCGTGTTCACGAGTTTGGAAACCATCCGCTTTATTTGTGTTAAAATTAGACCAAAAAAAAAAAAACGATAAATGTGGTTTACAAAGGACCACTTCAATGTAACGGATAATTTGCGGGTTTACTAGTTATTAATAACACTAAAGTCGTGCAATACTGTGAAGTCGGCAGAAATTCAAAGTATTTTGTTGAAGGTGTCCCCACAAGTAGAGTTACATCAGGCCAACTAGAAATAAAATTAATTAATCCAAATCTCACTGTTCAACGTCGTCTCTATAGATTGAACATAGATGAACGAATGGTTGTAAGAGAAAAATTTCGTGATCTCTTAAATGCCGCAGTCATATGTGAAAGCTATCCTCCTTTTTCTAGTCCTATGTGGTATACATCTTGTCAAGGATTCTGTGTGACCTTGGCAAAGATCTGAGTGATATATCTTGTCATGGATTCTGTGTGACCTTGGCAAAGATCTGTGTGATGTATCTGGCCATGGATTCTGTGTGACCTTGGCAAAGATCTGAGTGATGTATCTTGTCATGGATTCTGTGTGACCTTGGCAAAGATCTGTGTGATGTATCTGGCCATGGATTCTGTGTGACCTTGGCAAAGATCTAAGTGATGTATCTTGTCATGGATTCTGTGTGACCTTGGCAAAGATCTGTGTGATGTATCTTGCCATGGATTCTGTGTGACCTTGGCAAAGATCTGTGTGATGTATCTTGCCATGGATTCTGTGTGACCTTGGCAAAGATCTGTGTGATATATGGCAAAGATCTGTGTGATATAACTTGTCAAGGATCTGTGTGAACTTGACAAAGATCTGTGTGGATTATATATTATCGAACCCGTATGTAAAGTCTATGTTAAAATCTTTGTACTGTGATTTTGATTTTCATATAAAAGATAATTAGTTCGTGTAGAGTTAGATGAGATATAATGTTTACAGTCTAATTAATTTAATTAGTTCAGTCAGGATAGCCGAGCGTTAAAAAATACCAAAATTATTTGATTTTAGTTTCTGATGACACACACATAGACACACGAGGACGTGTGATATTGCAGGATGGCCGTGACGGAGTATGCACAATACGTTGTGTAAAGTGCCTTATTTTGGGAAAACTAGTTGATATTTTGGTTTCATTTCTTTCATGTTTGTATTTAAATGTTTTCGTTTATTTGAGTGATTATATTTGGTTGATAAAGGTTATGAGTTTGAAGAGAAGATACTCAATTCATTTTACAATACATTAAGGATATGTCGTTTGAACTATCTAATTTTGTGAAAGCTGTTTGTTCGTTTGATTAAGATTATTTTAAGTTTATATTTAAGTGTATTCCTTATTTCTTTTAATTTGTTTGATTGTTTTTAGTTGATTAATATTATGAATGTAATTTAAAAAGTAACTCAATTTATTATAAAGAGCCGACGCTAACGTCAGTTAGATTGTCGAGTGGGGTTCCGAGGGGCGCCAACTTCATAGTAGTGAGCAAGCATATAAACTGCAGCAGTCACACTGCAAGGGTGGTGCTCATTTGGACGTAGTGTTGGACGCACCCTCGGAAATCCACGTGGCTCGATTTCATGTGTTAATCAAAAAGCAAGAAGTAAAGTAAAGTGAAGTGTAGTGACTTTAAAGTGTTGTGAAGTGTTTTGTGAAGTGTTAGTGGTTAGATAGCAAATAAGAGTGAATTACAAGACCCTAGTGGACTCGGCGATCCGACATATATATATATATATATATATATATATATATACATATATATATATATATATATATATATATATATATATATATATATATATATATATATATATATACAACATATACATAAATATATATAAGTACATAAAAATTACATATTATATTAAGGTAAGAGTGATAGAAGATGTCTCTTAAGCCGATATTTAAAGGCAAATGCACTAGGACTCTCTTTGTAAACAGAAGGTGGGAGTGAGTTCCAAAGTTTTGCACCTTGGACGGAGAAGGATTTACGATAGAATTTAGTATTAAAGGAGGGGATATCAAGAGGATTTTGTGCAACACAGGAGCGATTAGGAAGGATTCTGGGGGAGGAAAATTTAAAACGTTCGAGTAGGTACGGGGGAGAAGAATGTTTGAACACATTGTACATTAACGTTAAAACATGCATATTCCGGCGGAAGCGGATAGGGAGCCACTTTAATTTGCTGCGGAATTCAGAGATGTGGTCGTATTTACGCAAGCCGAAAATAAATCGGATGCATAAATTCTGAAGTCTATCCAGTTTATCGAGCAGCTCATCAGTGGCATCTAAGTAGCAAACATCACCGTAGTCGAGTAAGGAAAGGAGGAGAGATTGTGCAAGAATAATTTTAGTTTTAAAAGGAAGGAAGTTTTGCAGACGTTTAAGAGAATGAAGAGTAGAGTGAATTCTTCTACTTACCTCACTCACCTGAGCTGTCCACGACAGATGACAATCCATTAATAGACCTAAGTTTTTAACCCGATCTAACAATGGGATTGTCACCCCATCGTACATTATACAGGGTAAAGTGTCAAAATTAATTTTTTTGTAGAGTTGCTTGTTTCCAATAATTATCGCCTGAGATTTATTTGGGTTCACTAGCAAACCGAAGTCATTTGCCCATCTGTGTATAGTTATCAACTCCTTATTAACAGCCTCGATAGCTACCACAAGTGTAGATAGTGGAGTATGTCTATAAAGCTGCAAATCATCTGCATAGAGATGATAGGGAGAAGAAATATGTTTGGAAATATTATCTATGAATATAGAGAAGAGTAAAGGAGAGAGGACGCCGCCTTGTGGAACCCCGGCATATGTGACATTCCAATCAGAGCAGCTCTCATCAGATTTCACCATCTGCCGACGTCCGACGAGGTAAGATTGAAACCATTTAATAACAGTTGGTGATATCGAGAGAGAAGAGAGGATTCCTAATAAGATGTCGAAGTCAACTGAGTTAAAAGCGTTACTGAAGTCTAGGAGAACTAAAATGGTTAGTTCTCTGTTGTCCATAGCGTTTCGGACATCCTCTGTTACTTTCAGTAAAGCAGATCTGGTACTATGGTGGGATCGGAAACCCGATTGAAATGGACTAAGGAGGTTATTGTGGTGAAGGTAGTCAGAAAGGTGTTTATGAATAATGAGTTCAAAAACTTTAGAAAGGATAGGGAGAATAGCGATAGGTCTAAAGTGAGATGGTAAAGTGGGGTTAGATAGTTTAGGAAGCGGGATAATATGAGCCGACTTCCAAGCAGTAGGAAATGTTCCAGATACCAAAGAAAAATTAAAAATATGAGTTAATACAGGTGACACAACGCTGAGTATTGGTAAGATCATGTCAACACTGATTTCATCATAACCCACTGCTTTGGAAGAAATGGATAAAAGAGATTTCTCGACATCATCTTCCGTTATTATGGGAAATAAAAAAGAGTTACCATTAGGTGGGGAGGTGGAAGCAAGTTTCATTAAAGTGTAATTCTTACGAGATGAAGGCACAGACACCGGAGGATTGGAGAAATGATTATTTAAATCATTTAAATTAATATTTTGGAAAGATTTCCACTTGGAACAATTACCCACACCCAATGAGTTTAGAAAGCTCCACATTTGTGAGCTTGAAGTATTACAAATAGAGGAGAAGATGTAGCGGCGCTTTGCATCCCTACACATTCTATTACAGAGATTACGCAGCTTTTTGTAGGCAGCATGGTTATCAAGCGACTGATCCTTTCTGAATTTACGTTTAGCTTTATCCCGCTTGGCCATAAAGGATTTAATTGTTGGAGTTAGCCAAGGTGCGGGATAATGCCTAACTCGTATAGGTCTCATCGGAGCATGAATGTCATAGAGATTGTAAATTTCAGAATTAAAACAGTTCACTTTTTCATCAATATTAGCAGAATTGTAAAGAGGCGACCAATCTATACACAGTGCGTCAGACAAGAGGACATCAGTATTAACGCTTTTTAAACTACGGCGAAAAATTGTACGGCTTTTACGTCTTACGGTAGAAATATTATAATTAAGGAAAATGAGGTCGTGGTAAGAAAAAGGCGATGATACTTGGCCATAAGAGCGAGCATATTCAGGTTGAGATACAATTATAAGATCGAGAAGAGAAGATCCAGCGTTTGG